ATTTTTTTTCTGATTTCCTCTTCTCTTTTGTATTAATGAGCCCCAAGGTTCTTGGGAGTGTAGCTTTTGGGTTGCCCAGGTATAGGCATCTCAACTTGATTCATCTCAACTTGGACAAGTGAGTTGTGGGCAGCAGCTGGGCTGTTACCACCTGCCCTTCTAGACTTACTTGAGTGACTAAACTTCATAGATGTCCCCTAGAGTATGGGGATCTTCATTTGCTTTCACTTTGGAGAGTCAGCTTGTGTAAGAGCATGGGAGTCTTTAGAAATCCAACTGTGTTCCTTGTCAGGTTTCTCTGTGAAGGGAGGGTTAAAAATTATCTTTCATCTATTCCTTAAGTCTCTTGTTGAATATTTCAGTTCAAGTTCATTTTAAAGCAGAACTTGAGACAAGGATTCAAATGTAAGTAATTAATTTGTGAGATAATCACAGAAAACACAGGTAGGGTTGTGGTGGTATTGTGTTCCCCAAAATATTGTGTGACCCTAATAAACTTATCTGGTGTCAGAGAACAGAACAGCCACTAGATATAGAGGGCAGAAAATGGTGGTGCACATGCCTTTTATCTTATCACTTGGGAGGCAGAGATCCATCCAGATCTCTGTGAGTTTAAAGCCACACTGGAAACAGCCAGGCATGGTGACTCATGCCTTTAATCCCAGGAAGTGAGCCTTTAATCCCAGGAAGTGATGGCAGAAAGCAGAAAGGTATATAAGGCATGAGTACCAGGAACTAGAGCTGGTTAAGCTTCTAGGCTTTTGAGCAACAGTTCAGTTGAGATCCATTCTGGATGAGGACACAGAGGCTTCCAGTCTGAGGAAACAGGATCAGCTGAGGAATTGGCAAGGTGAGGTGGCTGTGGCTTGTTCTGCTTCTCTGATCTTCTAGCATTCACTCCAATATCTGGCATCAAGTTTATTTTCATTAATAAGACCTTTTAGAGATTCATGCTACATCTGGCGCCCAACTTGTCGGGTACAAATTTGCAAAAGAGCTACTTGCCTATGGCCTTGCGGGACGCAGCTCAGGCCCAAGCTAGATGTTTTCCGTTTTGGTGATGCACACTGGTAGGATTTGCTGAAGGAGGCAGAGGAAGGAGGATCCTGAGTTTGAGTCCGGCCTACGAGGCTTACTAAGGAGACGCTGCTGCCAGGGCCCAGCCACAAACGGTGGCAGTGGGATCATGGAGGCAGTGGCTGCTGCTCCGAGTTGCTGGCTGCTTCTCATCATGTTGGTGACTGTGGTGATGCTGCTACCTGTGATGAAGGGTTTACTGCTGCTTGTTCAGAGAAGAATTGCCAGGACCATTGTGTTACAAGAAAGCATCAACAAAGGTCAGTTTGGAGAAGTTTGGCAAGACAAATGGTGGGGAAAAATTGCTGTGAAGATATTCTCTTCTAGGGAAGAACATTCATGGTTCCAAGAGACAGACATTTATCAGACTGTGATTGCTCCAAACCACGGAGGACACACACACACACACACACACACACACACACACACACACACACACACACACAAAATCTGCAGGGAACCATGACCATGCCTATTAGCAACTTTGAAATCTTCAAAAGGATGATGAGACCCCACAACAATGATTCCACAAGGACTATGGTAAAGCCATTAAGCTGATTAACACCATGGAAAGATCGACTTTGGACTATAAACTACTCAGGACAGTTTTGAGATGGCTAGCTGAGATGAACCAGATTCATAGATTACTCGAGCAAGGACTTGAAACAAACCCTACATTTTCCCATTATGCAGAGACTAGACAACAAATGATACACCTACCTCTCCTAGGACTTGACAATTTACCCAAAAATATTCTTTTCAGGATCCCCTAAAGATGTCTTCGCTCCAAGAAAGCAGGAAGTAATTTTTAAGAAAACTACACCCATATTCCCAAGAGGTAGGGTGGGTGTTTTTTTTTTTGGTCATTCAATGGCTTATGGATAATTGTCATTGTTTATGATGGTTGGTTACAAGTTGTTAATTGTTAATGGTCAGGAAAAAAGCTAAACATGGAGATTAGACTCAGAGTTTTTGTTTAAAAAAAAGAAAAAGAAAAAAAGAGAATACAGATATGCAGTAGATCATTGAATCTACTCTGAGAAAAAAGATAAAGAAATAATAGGATAAATGGGTAGATCATTGAATCTATTCTAAAAAGAAAAAGGAGAAGATATAAAAATGACAAAAGGTAGATTATTGAATATACTATGGAAAGAAAAAAGAGAGAATATGGATATAATAAGATAAAAAGGGAGATTACTGAATCTACTTTTAAAAAGGAACTACTTGTTTTAAATAGGATAAGTAATGAAATTTTTTGTCTGAATCTGTCAAATGTTAATGGCTTAGACATCGGTAATATAATTCTTGACTGTATATATTGTATATACTTATTGGATATAGTTTCTCTTGTATTAGTTATAAACTATTTTTAAATTTTAGACAAAAAAGGGGAAATGTGGTGGTATTGTGTTCCCCAAAATATTGTGTGACCCTAATAAACTTATCTGGGGTCAGAGAACAGAACAGCCACTAGATATAGAGGGCAGAAAATGGTGGCGCACACGCCTTTACTCCTATCACTTGGGAGGCAGAGATCCATCCAGATCTCTGTGAGTTTAAAGCCACACTGGAAACAGCCAGGCATGGTGACTCATGCCTTTAATCCCAGGAAGTGAGCCTTTAATCCCAGGAAGTGATGGCAGAAAGCAGAAAGGTATATAAGGCATGAGTACCAGGAACTAGAGCTGGTTAAGCTTCTAGGCTTTTGAGCAACAGTTCAGTTGAGATCCATTCTGGATGAGGACACAGAGGCTTCCAGTCTGAGGAAACAGGATCAGCTGAGGAATTGGCAAGGTGAGGTGGCTGTGGCTTGTTCTGCTTCTCTTATCTTCTAGCATTCACTCCAATATCTGGCATCAAGTTTATTTTCATTAATAAGACCTTTTAGAGATTCATGCTACATAGGATAGTGTGGAAGTGAGGCAGAAGAGAGACATTATCAAAATAATGCACATTATCAAATTATTTCTACTTTGGGCCTCATATGAGCTCAGTCCTGCTGGAAAATTCTAGGAGTCTGTGGTAAACACTCAGAGTTAACCTATGGCTCAGGGTGGGGGGGATCAAGAGTTTTTCTGCTGTTTGGGAGAAAGCTGCCTGACTGAGAGATTCTAAGAAGCTAGAACTAAAGCAAGCCTGTCCTACAGTGGTAAGGCCTGTTCTCAGCGATGCAAGGATTTGTCGTTAGTCTGTAGGTAAGACACTGAAAGAAGCACTGGAGGTTAATATGCATTAGATAGAAGCAGCTACATTTTATATGTTCAAAATTGCGCCATGTGCTATGAAGGAAACAATGGCAGTTGAAGACATTGCTTCTCCTTACTCTGGGGAGCCTGAAGTCTTAGGAAAGTGACCCTCATTTTACCATGCAACAGTAGGTAAAGGGACAAAATAGAATGGTGTGTCATCCATTACAAGGGGTCTGGAATTGTTGGGAAAGGCTTCATGTAGAAGTCAGAAAATGAAGGAAGGGTAACATTTGCAAAATTAGAACCACAATTTGTATAATTTGAGGAAGGATAAGAAAAGACATGAAGTTTGTTGGTAGATATCAAGGATGCTCATGAGAATCAAGTTGATGGAATGTTCTTAAGAGGAGTGGGGATCCACACACGTGATGATGAGGGGGGGTTAACACTGAGATGCTTAAAGGCAGAACAGAAAGTTTTGGCTCTTTTTCCCTAGAGATGCAAGCCATTAGCTGGAGTCTACAATTCTTTTTGAAAATTCCGATAGCCATATCATTGCTGAAGAACTGGGTTACTCCTGGCAGGCGTCCCTTCTTCCTGGATTGCATATGACTGGGATGAGGGAAAAACCAGATGCTAGGTAGTCTCATTGTACTTTAGTTTTTTACATCCTCTTACATTGACTTTGGACACTAAGAGGTTGAATAAGTTGCTTTATTATAAAGTCAGGGCAAGGGTTTCTTTCTTTTGTAAGCCACAGCCATGTGCAAACATTGATGCAAAGTATCACAATGCTGAACTACAGCAAAAAGAAGAGATCAAGTGAGAAATTCAGAGAAGAGAAACTACACAGCCTGAGTAAGTTAAGGGAGGGTGGCTTCAAATTCCCTCAGTCATGGCATGTTTCTGTCAGTTTAGTCTTCTGTAATCTTTCCATTCAAGGACCCTTGACTAAGACAATAAACGGTTGCTAATTGCATATTGCTTCCCTGGTTTCCAATGCTCTCATGTCTGCTCCTAGGTATTTATGTCAACACATGCAATCACCATGATCAGAATCATGACCAGTCAGTTATTGAGGAAGGGCTCCAGTGAGACAATAAAGGAGTGTGAGAAGTGGAGCAGGAGAGGAAAGGAAACCCAGCACAGGTGAATTGAAGCTGTATCCATGAAGCCTGCATTGGTGCTGTGTGGGGTCCTTCATAGGATTGCTTTGCTTGTTTCTAGCCAGCTTTTCTTTTTTTTTTTGAATTGCATAAGTAATTTAATTTTACATATCAGCCACAGATTCCCCTGTCCTCCCTCCTCCCACCCTCCCTGCCCCCCCAACCCCCCCCCCCCCCATTCCCACCTCCTCCAAGGCAAGGACTCCCCTGGGGATTCAGCTCAGCCTGGTAGACTCAGCTGAGGCAGGTCCAGTCCCTAAGCTTAGCAAGGAAACTGGGTATGCACATCCTATCTTACTGACACAGGCTAGTTTGGAAATACCTAGGTAAGTTAGGTGGGATCCTTCCCCTAAACTCTTTTGCCATCTGGTTGTGGGAGATAAGCTTGCAAACAAAGGGATTTTGGAAATTGGCTCCTGGGAAAAGAGCATCACCCAAGGAAGATGTCACTACCAACACATGCAGTGACATCTGCCCACCCCTTTTCCCACAAGACACACTTGAATCATTCAACAGCACAAGTATGGCTGATCCTCCCCAGACACTGTTTCCTCATGTCTTGCAGAACTTCCTGAAGAAGAAAAAAAAAGACGGTTAAAGGAATATGATAAGAACCTGGCAAGAACCCAGTTTAGACTCAGCAGCTTTGATCCTAGAAAGAGAAAAATAAATATTACACCTGAGGTTGGTGAGACTATTGTGTATTTTTCTTTTTTCCCTATTGGTATGTTTGCTCTTTTAGCAACTAAGAACTTACTGTTTAAAATCCAAGTGTTGTGCTGCCAAGAAAGAGGTGAGTGTTTGCCCATGGTAATAGTTTTTACCCAATGCCTCTGACTTCTGTTTTGTTCAGAAAAAGAATGTGGTTCAGCATCTACAGGGCTTGTAGGAATCTCAAGTCCTACAGTGATAAAAATACTGAGATAGTTTTACTATGAGAAAATGATATGCTATATAATATCATTTCAATTAAAAATACATAACAAGGGTCTATAGAATGACTCAACAGGTAAAGGATTTTTCCACTAAACCTGAATACACATAGGCATGCATGCATGCATGCGTGGGCGTGCATACACATACACACACATATGATAAACAAACAAATAAATGAGAAGTAACATAAAATTTAAAATATATATCCTAGTAAATTGCTATTGTGAATTTGCTGCTAGTAAAAGTTGGTGTTCATACAGTTTGTATATATATTTTATATATTATATGTAACACTGGAATTCATTAAGAGCAGTAGTTCAGGAGTTGGATGAAAAATGGCTTCCACTAAACGTTGGACAGCTTTGTAAAACATGTGCCACAGCCATACAAAGTCCTGCTGTCAGCACACAGTGAGTTACATCCATCCTCAGGCGGCTGGGGGAGCACAAGGCCTCATGAGTGAATCCCTATTTGCAATCCTCAGTTGTATTTGTTCTATCACCAGTCACTGTTAGATCAGACTCATCTTAACCTAAGTCCCTTTATGTTGCTTAATTTTCCTCTATGGAAAAAGGTTGTTGGATGTAGAATTTCTCTAGATAAAGACAGGGTTACAAGGTGTTTATTAGGAGATGATCTAGAAGACATGGGAAGGAGAAAAGTCATTAACAGGGTATGATAATGAGCAGAATGACTGCTGTGGGCAGCTGAGATGCAGAGTCTCGGAAACTCTGAGGACACTTGGCATGTTCTCATGCCTCAAGATTGTACCAATCAAGAGATGGGGACTTGGGGCACTTAGCCAACATTTTCCATATGATGTTTGTTGCAGGATGCTTTGTTGGAGACTTCTGGTGGAGTATAAGGGGAGAGAATCAGAAGAGAATGTTAACAGGACTTGGGCAGCATACAGATGGATGTTCTGACAGCATCTGCTATGGCTGTACATTTCCATGGACAGAATTCAGGGACCAGAGTGTCTAATCAGTTAACTTTAAAATACACGTGTTGCATTTCAATGTTCCACTTAAGTTCAAATTGCTAAGTAGTTGGAGAAAATCTTATGTAAGATGCAAAACCAAATGAAGGGGAGAAGGACAGCCATATGAAAAATGAAGGGAGAGATGTTTTCAAGTCATTCGCATATTTTTGCCTGCTTAAATTCTGTGTTTAAAACAGGATTTAAATCTTGGACTGCTTGAGGATTGATTCTTGGCAATCACATTCTCATTCAGAATAAAGTTGCTTAGCCATGTCCTGCAGCCTGAATTATCCACTTGGTAGTCTTTCACTTTTCATGCTTCTCTTGTACAGTCAGTTTCTCTGGGCCCACCCATTAGTCAGATACCCCAGTCCCATTTCCAACAATGGTGCTTGACAGTTTCCATCTTTCAAGTTACTTGGAAAACTGTAGTCCTTGAGATGAGACAAATCTTTTATGATCCAGGAAAGCTCAGTTGCATCTACAATCCTGGGACTGGACTTAGGTCCATCTGGTTATAAAGGCCACCCACTTGGTCTATCCTCTCTTCAAGTTACAGTGCCATAAAGAAAGTAGACAAGCATGTACAGGTGCATCTTCCACAAAGGCCTCAAGTCATTGGTTTAGTTCCCTTACTGTGGAGCCAATCTTACCATCTGACCCATTCACTTCTCTCTCTCTCTCTCTCTTTCTCTCTCTCTCTCTCTGTGGGTGTGTACATGCATGTGGAAGCCAGAGGTTGGTATCAAGTACCTTCCTCAATCACTCTTAACATTATTTTAAGAAACAGGACTCACTTGGGATTCACTCACTCATCTTGATTACTTGGGAGAGTCTCAGTGATCCTCTGTCTCTATTTTCCCAGCTCTGGGGTTAGGGGTAGATGTTGCTGCACTTAGACTTTGCATGAGATTCCTGATGACCTGAGCACTTTACTGACTGAGCCCATCTGCCAGCCTCCTCTTTTCACATTATTGAAGGATGTGTGGCTTTGCTCTTGAACAATGTCAAGAAACAAAATAATAAAGTGTTAGGTAATTTTGAAGCTAACTCAGATCTCATTTCTAAGAATCCTGATCGTATACAGGAGGAAAGAGCATCTCGCATCTTCATTCTGTTTTGATGTTTTCCTCTTTCATACTCTCCAACAGTGGCATCTCCCCTTCTCAAGGTTTCACCTCCTGTGTCTGACTTATGAAAGAACCATTTCCTCCTGCAGGTTCTTTGTTATTGTATCCTTTGCACCTGGGTGTTTCCTATGCTTCAGATACTTGCACAATTTCTAATTCCTTGGTGGAACCTTTGCTTTTCTGTACTCTTACATGAAATGAAAGGTTATTTTCCTCGTAAAAAACTTTATAATAATATGAATAGACACCAATACTTGGTTTACAATACCACATTTCAATAACCCCTTACATGCAATTTATTTCTTGTATACCAATCAACCAAATATGACTCTCAACAAAGGTCAAGTAAACGATGTGATCATTGCTTTTTTAAGATTTAACCCCGTGAACCATAGCAACATCAAAATGGGTGTTAAGGGAATTATAGGCATTAGATTTTCTTACCTGTATTATTTGAAATTTTACATCTACTTAGTTGAATTTCTTTATACACAAATGTATATTCATAGTTGCAGCAGAAAAAAGGAAAGATTTAAAAGGAACCCTCAAAGCTTTATTATTATTATTATTATTATTATTTAAACTGATTGGCCTAATGGCTCAGGCTTCTTGTGATCTAGTTCTTCTATCTTAAATTAACCCATTTCTATAAATCTAAACCTTACCACATTGCTCATGGCTTACCAGTATCTTACATGTTGGTACTCATGGTGGTGGCTGGCAGCGTCTTCTGACTCAGCCTTCTTGTTCCCAGAAATCTCTTCTCTACTTGTCCCGCCTAAACTTCCTGTCTGGCTACTGGCCAATCAGCATTTTTTATTTATTTATTTATTTATTTATTTATTTATTTATTTATTATTTATCTTTCATTTTTCTTTATTAAGAAATTTTCTACTCACTCCACATACTATCCACAGATCCCCCCTCCTCCCTCCTTCCACCCCCAGCCCTCTTTCTCAAGCCACCGCACATCCCCACATCCCCCAAATCAAGGTCTCCCATGGGGAGTCAGCAGAGCCCAGCACACTGAGCTTAGGCAGGTCCAAGCCCCTTCCCACTGCACCAAGGCTGTGCAAGGCGTCAGACCACAGGCACCGGGGAACCCTCAAAGCTTTAAATCAGTATTTTCATCATGGTGCTATTCTTGCCTAAAATCATTTATTTAATGATCTTCCAGACAGTTATTCATATATTTATTTGTTGAATACATTCAATGTCAGCAGACTCATGAGGCAATTCAAAGAGTTTGAGAAAGTTCTACTTGTTAAGCAAGTAGTATTTAGAGGATAAGTGATGGGTTGTGGACAGTTTTAAGTGCCGTAAAATATTTCTACAGCCCCTCCCAATGCTGTTCATCTAGACAAAAGGGAACTATGCAAATAAACCTGTTAGCATCCTCTGCTATTTGTAAAGTTCTAATTCTTATCCAACACATCTTCTTACCTAGCAAATGAGTGTCCATTTGGAAAATCATTACAGTGATAGGCTACAAATGACTAGAATGTGTTGACTATGTTGTTCAGAATAGATTATTCTCTTTTCTGTTTGTACTTCAGATAAACCATCATGTCCAGAATAATGATTGCCTTGGTATTTTGCACCAGTCAATTGTCCGGTAAAGGTCTTAGAAGTGATGACCCTGAGCCATCTACTCTCACTGTGATAGCCAGGATTTTTGTCTCCCTACTTTAAACACTGTATCTCTGATCTTTCTGTGGTCCATTTGGAGTATAATCCAAAAATAATTTATATTTGTCCTTTAAAAATCTCACATCAAAAGACTGAAAAGATATATTGAGGAATATCTTGATAGTGTTCCAAAAAGCTTGACACATGTGACCATCATCTAAGTTTATCCAGGTGGCCTGAGGGGCATAGGGAATGTTCTACATCTCTTTGATATCCTTGATACCCACGAGGTTTCCACTGCTTCATTTAGACGCTTTCCATTCCTAACTGGATGAGTGCTCTAGCTTAGCCTCTTCAGTAGCATCAGCCTTGTGCTGACCTTCCATTCATTTCCTCCTACAGCCAGGGAGCACTCCCTCACCCACTCTTGCTCTCTTCCTTCTTCCTGCGTTTTTTTCCTGTTGGATTTTTTCTTTCCTTTCTTTTTCTCCCCCCCTTCCCCCCATTTGATAGTCCCATACAACAGAGGCTGGGCTTAAATTAAAGATCCTTCTTCTTCAGCTTCCAAGGTGCTGGGATTACAGATGTGTCCCTCCACACCCAGCCTATAAGCACTCTTTCATAAGCGCATTCCTAATTGTGTCACTGATGCTAAACTCTCTCATTGCCTACTTCATAATGCTTGGTTTTCTTGATAGGTAATGAAATCTTGCCTCAACATCTCCACTTCATATTTCATCTTTATATTCTTCAGTCATACAGAATAACACTCGTGTCTGAACTATTTTCTGGGTGATGGCTCTCTTCCTCCTAGTTTTGCCTGCACCCATGCCTGAGAGTCAACCTGAGAACATGCTTCCCCTCAGTCCATCTCCCTCCACAGGTTGGCTTCTTAGGCAGCTGCATTACATGCCCTGCTTATCTCAAAGCTTGGATTAACAACTGTGTATTATAATTGTTTTCTGTTCTATATCTTCCACATGCCTACAGCTCTTGGAATGAACAGGCTGTCTTTTTTTGTCTGTAACGCATGGAGGTTGCCCCATTTTATAAACATGATGTTGTAACTGCCCCAATTCAGACATGGCTAAATATTTGGCACTCTGGAAAAATGTCAATTGTGCATCTAAACGCTGCTCTATAGAACATGCCTTGGAATGAACTCTAAAGAAGTGAAGGCAATGATATTTTTCAATGTGATGTATTTTTGTCTTTAAAACTTGCATATTTTTAAAATTCCCTATAAGGACCCACATGTAGGTGACATCTATAGTCAGAAACAAAGGTTTGAAAACCAGGATGGATTATGCTGTATTTATTATAGTGGATCTTTTTAAGGCAAGTATTTGTGGAGTAAATAAAAAAGACTGAATTCCTGATTATTCTTTAGGATTGGACTTAATGGGCAATTTTTTCATCTTCCATCTGAATGCAGGGTTTTCCCCTTATAGAGTCTATTTCACTTATAATCTGATTTTATTTAAATCCTAAAAATTAAGTGACATGATTAGTCTTTTTTAAAATAATCAAACCATCTCACCAAGATTAATAAATTTAATCAAATCTCACTTGCTGTTAAAACATGTTATTATTTAGAGAACATATAAAAGTAGTATAAATATTGATGTCTGTCTTTTGAAATGGAATAAAATGTGACTCTGGAAATTATAAAATTGGACAGCATGTTTCAGACCATTGGAAGCTAAATGTTCTGTTGGTCTGGGAACAGAACCTAAAGCCAGCTTTGAATTATATAGTTGGCTTTTAATGGAATATAACTATCTATTTTTGCTGCCAAATCTATTATCCTTTGGTACATAATACAGCAGAGATGAAGAGCCTACATATTCAGCAAAATATTTTTTGTGAAGCAGCAAAAATATGTTTGGTCATAATTTATACAGATCTATAGTTATAGGTAAAATGTTTGAAAAAAACTGACAATGAGAAAAAGGAAGAAACCAGTATTATTTTATAATATTATTTCTTGCGATCTTCTGGAAAATCAAAATGTTTTGAATTCATTATTACAAGGTAACATTAAGTACATCTTCAGTATTTATTGATAGTTAAGATTTCAGTAACTACATTTGGTAAGAGCTGAGATACTTAGTCATGTTTATATGCTATTGAAAAGGTTTTTGGAAGGTGTGCTATGACCATTCTAAGTTTACTTTTAGTTGACAAGTCTATGTCCATGATTGCTAACTCTGAACCTAGCTTTAGATCTCCTGGGCTAGCACAGTAGACAGAAGCAGAGAGGAGGCAAGCTTAGAGTCTGACCCTGGCAATTCAACACTCCAGCCTTGGCATGGCAAGGGTCACTTCCAGTGACCCCTTCACCAGTTAGAGCTAGTCTGTCATATGGTACTCAAAAGCTGAAGGGCCATGACACTATTAAAAGCCTTTCCATATGCCTTATTTACTAAACAGAACTGCCTAATAACTTTGGTACTCTAAACATTATATTTGATCAAGTTCTGAAGCTCTTAACCCAGGCTACTGTTAGACTCATGTGGGACATTTTGTAAAAATGTTTATGGCTGGTCCCTTCTACTCCAGCTCCACTGAATCAGGTCCCAGAGTAAGAACAGTATAGAGAAATATTTTATGATCCAAGTTACAATTGGGCACCAAGGTGCCGACCGCTTCCTGTATACTCTGTATATGTGATGCCAATTTGTTGCTTACTCAGTGCTGAAATACCTAGGTGGAGATTCTTGGTACCTAAGGGCAAGTGATAAAATATCACCATAGGGAGTGCTGAAAGGGAACTTGAAAGAGGAACTTTCATTGGCTGAAACCTTAATGAAACTGCACAGCATTCTGATTCCTCAAGGCAACATTATAACATAGTCCCAATTGTTGAGAAAAGGGGGCTGAAACTGGCTGAAATTTTTGCCACCTTGGAGAAGTGTGATTTTTCTATCTTACTTTTAAAAATTATTAGTAACTATTATTTTTTATTATTTTTTTCATACATTTTAATAATATTTTCCCTTCTCCTAATGCCTCCCAGATCCTCTCCATCTCCCTAACTTAATGTTTTTTTCCTCTCACACAAAAACAACAACAACAACAACAAAAACAACCCCAGGAAAACCAAAAACCAGAAAAAAGAAAAACAAACCAGAGTGAAACATATCCTCCCCAACACACACACACAAAAACAAACAAACAAACAAACAAACAAACAAACAAACAAAAAACCCCATGGGTTTTGTTTAGTATTGTCTAACTACTCCTAGGCATGTGAACTGTCCTAGAGTATGATTGATACATCCAGTGGCATGCCACTGGAGAAAATGGATTTTCCCTTTTCCCCCAGGTATCGGTTGCAAATAGCTTCTTGGTTAGGGGTAAGACTGTTGTATAATATTTTGATCATATTCTGATGCTCCTGAGACTGACAATAAAGTTTGCTTCGAATCAGAGGGCAGAGAGAGCTACTAGCTGGCCAAAATTAGTCATAGAGGTTTTGTCTAGTTGTAGGTCTCTGTGTTTATTACCATCTACTTCAAGAAGCTTCTCTAATGAGAGTTGAGTGATGGCACTGGTCTATGGGTATAGCAATATGTCATCAAGAGCCATTTTATTGCTATGTTCTTTTAGAAGAATAAGTTTTTCTTTTGGTCCATTATCTATCTAGTCTCAGGTTCTTAGCCACTTTGGCAGTGTTGGGTGTCTTGTGGAATGTGCCTTAAATCCAATTTCAGAAAAAGTATATTGGTTACACCCATAACATTTGTACCGCTATTGCACCAGTATATGTAGCAGAAAGTTCACTGTTGTAGATCCCAGGGTTTGTGGCTGGGTGGTCTTGATGGTTACTTTTTTCTGTGGAAATGTACAGAGAATTTTCCAGCACCATGAAAGTTAGTTAGTAGGGGTGAAATTTCTAGGTCAACTTCTCTGTACTGATGACATATAATTGTTTTCAGCAATTGGGCCTTCCCATTGGGTTGTGGATAACAACCAATACTCTTGGCAGTAGACTGTGATGTTTGGAAAATTCCATGGGACCCTTGTGGTCAATGACTCAATGAAATGTAAGCTCTATCTGGCACAGGAGGTTTTACTTGGTGGCATACGATATCTAGTTGAGGCATTTTCTCCATTATATAGTGACTCCATTTACATTCCTTTTAGTTTACTGGTCTTTGATCAGTATATTATATATACCAGAAGCCCCTCTTAATATAAAACACCTGCTGAACAGCAATCCCTTGGAATTTTGAAATATGACATCTTTGTCTATAATTTATGAGTGAAACATGCATACCTATGTAGCATATGGGAAAGAATGACCTCCTCCTGAGGGTCATTTATTACTAACTACATCTTTTCTTCCATCCCTTCCAATAATTTCCCTTATTGTTCTCATGTACCAGCATCTTGTTTAATTTATACATTATGGAAAACTTCAGCTTTCAGCTTATGAGCCATAATCATTATCTTGGTCTTATTGCTGTAATTTATTATGATTCTAAATATCACCAGCAATCCAAAAGCTATCAAATGTATGTCACTCACCACATTTTTTTGAGCTTGTTTATCACTTGGTTCTTTAATTGAGCATATGGCATATGGGACTGCCTGATGCACTCCTTTGAGATGTCTTCATCCTACTCCCTGTATGATGCAATGTGTGCAGCTGCATAAACCAGAAGCCTACAGGTGTTCTCAGTGCTGCTTCATCACACCCACAAAACAAGACCCTCATTGTGTCTCATGTAGTAGGCCTCTATGCTATCCTTCAAATCCATTCTCTTCTCTGGGCCTCCACAATTAAATAGTCATCTCCTGCTGCATCACACTGCCCTAGACATTAGTGCCATAAATAGTAAATGTTGTGTATCTCTCACAGTACCCATGGGTCAGAGATTTGGGAGTAGTTTGACTAAATAGTTCTTGCCAGGGATCTCTCATGAAAATACATTAAAAATGTTATCAGGGCAGTGGTCATCTGAAGCCTGATGAGTGGCTAGATCTTCCAGTATGGTTCATCTTCTTGATAGAGTGTTTGTGCTGGCTGCTGTGGAAGCCTTAATTCTTACAAAAAGGAATCATCCAACAGAGTGGTGTCAGTCTTCTCACAACACGACAGTGGGCTTTGGTGAACCATCATTGCAATTATCTTTCATGGTTTATTTTTGGACCATCATCTTTGAGTGATCTTATTGGCTGCCCAGGTCAACCCTGATCAATGAAGGAGTAAAGGTGCTACGCTGGGGTGTGAGAAATAGCAGGGAAATATTAGGGCTAATTTGGAGGCTGGCAAGCACAAGCAGCTAACATCCTACAGAGAATACAATACCCTCCTCAGAGGCTTCAGTTCATTTCTTCATCTCGTCCTTTTCCTCAGATCAATGAGATACAGATTTTAATCAAGTGTCATTTGTCAGCTTTAATTCTTTATGCTGTTACTTCAAATGTAGAAAGACATCCATGTTCTTCTCTGAAAGGTCCACACAGTTTGACATCTAGTATCAGCCTTAGCCTTGTTGCTCTTCTCTTGCCACCATCTCTGTAGGTCTGCTGGACTTCCTCCTGCTCTACAGCAAACTTTACCATCTCCGAGCTTTTGCAAGGGGCTGCCCCTTCATGTATTTGCTCCTGCTGTGCAGTCGTGCTGCCTCTACTACTCTGCACCTCTCAGCTTTCATATTTCCTCGGGGATATCTTCCTTGGCTGTCTGCTTAAAGCTTCACATGATGCTTTTTCTCTTGTCATATTCATCCCAATTTATAATAACAAGTCTATTATGTAGTGACTCTTTTTATTGTGGTGGCAAGAGCCACCACCATCCTGGACCAACTCTAGGATGCTGACAGTAAGTCCTTGGAATTTATCACAAGGCATAAATGAGTGAATGAATGACTTTTTCTTCTTTAGGTGAAGATTCTACATACACTTCTGAAATTTTAATTTCCATTTCTCTCCATTTAAAAATGTTCAACAACTCCAGTGGTAGGGGTGAGAGACTGAACAGGGGGAAACCAGAATCAGCCAGAGTGCTTGGACAAGAATAAAAACATCTTTCTCCCCTCTCTATTCCAGTAATTTTTAAACCAAAAGCCTAAAAAAGAATAGGGCTTCTGAACTATTGATTTTAGAATAAAGTATAAAGGATTTAAGTACATTTTGGTCCAACCTAGATGATGTTTTTAAGTTGAAGGATGAAATAGAAAACCACTAACCCAATTACTGCAACTGAACCAATCAATAAGTTCCTTGTCTCATTCTTTCCCTCCCTATCTCCCCTCTTCCCTCATTTTTTAAGCCTTCCATTATTTATTTCCATTTGCCAGAAATTTGTTACCCCGACAGCTTAAATAGTATCATCACCTATTGCTGGTTTGTGTGTATTCCTAATCATACATTTCAAATGAAGGAAAGTCAAAAGCTTTATGGAACGCTGGGAAAAATGTGTTGCCAATCAATTCCTATTATTGTGATTCTTCGGGTCTGTGTTAGAGAACAACATGTGAGTCAAGTGCTGTTCTCATGTTTGATGACAAGACACATGACACACTTAGGAATGCATTTTAATTCTGCAGGACACATTTACCCCCTGACATGTGCTGCAGGCATAGAGTGTCTTTACTCTCCCAGTTTTGTCATCACACAATCAAAACTGACCCACAAAGGCTTTTGCAAAGGATATTTAGAACGACTGTTTCCTTGTTTGCAATCCTTCCATGCCTTCAGAATAATTGGGCATTTCTTTTTTATATCAGGTTGGAGTGGAGATGAAACTCAACTAGAAGATCAGTTGGAGTAAGGAAGAACCAGTCCCAATGAGTAGCAGAGAAACTGTTTTTGAAGAAGACTTGAACTTGTTATGTACCAGTAGCAGAAGAGAAAAGCCTAGAAACCTGCAGAAAAACAAGATCCGATGTTAAATGCGAGGATTTGTAAATACAGGAATCATGGAGGAATTAGTGTAAGAACAAACTTCTCTATACCTGAACAGGCACTGAGAATGTTTGAATGTGGGTTTTAGCCATATGCATAATTCATTCTAAAATAGTTTATCTAATTACTATGTTTCAATGTGATAACAAAACATGTAATATCTTAGAATGTTCACAAAGCTTTCCTAAACAAGGACTTCTAAGACCTTGCAACATTCCAGATGAAAGGTGGCATAGGATGCCTCAACAGGTATATGTGTATATATATATATATATATATATATATATATATATATATATATATATATATATATATATATATATCTCAAAAAGGAAGTGATAATAGCCTGATTGACTGCAACTGACAATTGCATTACGTGATCCTGGTTTAGCAGCTTTTGGCTTCATATTGGTTGGAGATTCTGCTGTTAGGATTGTTTGAGATTCAGTTGCTTAGTTATTAGAACATACTCCTAGGCCATGATTCATTTGCTCATCAAGGGTTTATAGTATTAATCATGATAAAGAAGCTATTTTGGTTGGGCCAGACTTTACCATCCAAATATGGAGCCAAGTTTAGGTCCAACTTAATTAACAAATCTCAAAGGCCAAGGGAAGTTCTCTGTGACAAAGCTCATTGCTTTGAGATAAAAAAAAAAGATGAATGGGGTAAGGTAAGTCAAGGTGTAGAAGGAGAGAAAACAGATTCTCAACTGAGAGCATCATTTATGCAGAAACTCAGTGGAAGATGGGGGCATGGTAAATAAAATAGAGGGTCGACAGATGGGTGTTTAAGGGAAGGAAGCTGGTGAAGTAAGTGGTGGCAGACCCCGTAGGACCCTGTGAGATGTATTCATTTGTGTTGTCTGACATTGGAAACTAATCATTTTCAGTGTTTGAATGAACTAGTAGTTAGACTTCCAAAACAACCACCTTCCCTCTTTGAAACAGAAACAGCTGGAAGCAGTGAATGGACTATAGGAAAGGAGAGAATGTAAAGGGGATACCTCATCAACTTTGTATGGAGAGATATGGTGAGGGCTAGAGGGTATGGATGCAGATAGCAGGGGGCAAATTCAAGAAATAAATTCAAGAAATTTAACAGAGATGAACTAGGACAAATGAGTACTGAGGGAAGAGAAATGGCATCCTAATGATTTGGAGTTTGTGTTTCACATTAGAATGATTGTTTGTTCCTTTAATGAACTAGCAAATAGTGAAGAACTAGACAGAAGGACAGGCAGTGAGTTTGCTGTGAGGATTGATGTTTGAAGCACCATTGTAAATCCACAACCTGATGTCATGAAAGCAGAAGGGGGACTATTGGAAGATAAAGATGATGGGGAGAGTGGTGGGGGTGTGAGTTTGAGCAAGGGTAGAGTTAGAGTGTCAAAATGAAACCCATTATATGCTAAAATTAATAAAACATTAAAATGTTAAAAGTGATGTCAAATGCCATATTTTGATGGGACTGAGATTAAAAGACAAGCCTAAGTATGATATAAAGATGGGAACCATTCCAAGTAGAGGTGTAATGAGCTTGCCTAGGTAGTATGTGCAGAGATAAAGGTTTAGAAGGTGGTTTTGAGAAATTATGGTACTTAATGTTCTGTCAAGATTTGCAGTGGGTAAATGTTCTTTTTATTTTCCAGCATCCACAGCTTTCTTTTTGGGAGTAAAATATGCCCCCCCTTTTTTTTCTTGCAAGTGCATCCCTCTTCAGATAGTAGTCTTGGTAGGACTACTCTATCCTATAGATATTGCATTGCAAAATCCGGCTAACAAGAATGTTGCATCCTCAGGCCATAGTGAGGTCTAGAGTCCCTAGTTTTTACTATGGGTAAGGACATTTTCACTCAGGATTCTGAAAGGGAGGACTGGGTCATTTTTTGTTTGTGGCTGAGAGCAGAGCTCACACAGAAGGAAGAACAGAGAGGGTATGGAAGCTGTGCTGTGAGCACTGTAGGGGATCCTGGGTGAGACATCATTTCCAATGGAGGTACTAAGGATTCAGACTTATTCAATCCTTCCTTGGAAACATTAGCTTTAACAGGTTCCATACTGAATTGTAAATACTAGTGCTTTTATGGAAGATAACCTAAAATGATACTTGGAAGTACCAATAAATCTATTATTACTAACATCAAGGAAGTGTCTAGGCAGAGGGAAGAATCAGAATAACTTGGAAATGAATCACTTCCCCAACTGGTTCTTCACATATTAGGATCTGGCTTTGCCTCTTCCCTGGTATAGTTTTGACTCATATTGTCCTCTATTCCTCGTCCTAGATTGACTCTGCTGTTCAGGATACCACCCTTCTATCCAATCCTTCTCTTCCAGGAGGGCCGAGTTGAGTCCTTATCCTACAGAACTCAGCTCATGAGACATTTCACTATCTTATAACCAGAGGCTTTTCTGTCCTGCCCAGTCCAGCAGTGTCTTTTAAAATAATCACTCAACAGCTTATATGAATTATAAACGTTTGGCCGATGACTCAGGCTTAATACTAGCTAGCTCTTACATTCAAATTAACCCTCATTTCTTTTCTATGCTTTGCCATGTGGTTTTTGGCTTGTTAGCTCATTTTCTGTATGTCTTGCTTCCTCAGAGGCTGGCTGGCATCTCTCCCAACTTGGCCCCTCATCTGAGTCTTCAGTTTGATTGTTCTGCCTAACCTTGTTCTGCCTGGCTATTGGTCAAGCAGCTTTTATAATTAACCAGTGAGAGGAATACATACAGCATAAAGATCATCCCACAGCACTATCTAACTTCCCTAGTTATGTCTTACATACTGTGAGTTCGCAGATTGTGTGAGGTAGCATCATGTAGCTGTATCAGAGAAGCCTGTGGTTATCTCTTGTCATGTCTGGAATCCTAAAATTTTGCAATGTTCTACTTAAAGCTGAAAACTATCCTGGAAGCCCCCTGCATTACCTTTTCTATATTGTCTAGAAGTGTGTAGATTGGCACTTTTAACAGGTTCCTAAACTGGACATGTTCCTATGGGAAGGTCCTGGGAATGTGGTCCCCTGGGTAGTGCTATTGAGGGATGGAACCTTTTAGAAATGGAGCCCATAGAGGTCATATGGGGTGCCTTTACAAGAGGATTATAGATTTCTTATGGACACCCTGGTTAGTTCTCATGAGATTATTATTATAAAAACCCAAGCCTGGCTCAAATCCAGTCTCTCATTGGCTTTCTGCCTGGCAATATGACCTCCATTTCCACATGTGTCTGCTATTAGTATCTTCCATGAGGCAAGGCAGTCAAGAATGTTTTTCACCATCAGCTTATGCCATGCTGTTTGGACTTTCAACATGCAAAACCATGAACCAAATAATCAATCCTCCTTTCTTTATGAAGTTAGCCTGACTCAGGTATTTCAGTACAGTACTGAAAAAAGTTTAATGTGTGTGATTAACTTCATGGTCAGTGAGTATAAAAAATGCTCCAATAAATACATGCTTGGGCTCACAGCTATCTTGTTAGTATGTAATTTAAGCATCGTGTGTCCCACCCCAATGACTAAAGATAGACTATGGAGGGCTGTGCCTAGAAATCTCATACTGCTTTATGATTGTTCATGCTCTGTCCAGCTGTATCAAATCTTTCATCTATATTAAATCTTACACAAATACACATTGCAGAGTATTTTAAGCATTATAATACTCACCAATTATTGGGGCAGTGGCCAAGACTGCTTTTGCATTCCATTGCCTCCTGACACACCAGTGTTTGAAACTTAGTAAATCAGTATCCCATGAAGGAAAGGGAAACCTCTGGGTGGTTCTGAAGGGAGAGTGGGTGTAAGGGTGTGGTTATGCAGAAGAGGTTAGTGAAGCAACCTGTATTGCCAAGTAGCCCAGATTCTAAGAACAGAGGTCACTGGTACTATCCCTAGGAGCTAGGACAGGGAAAGTGGATGGTGCTAATGGGGCCCAGGGGATGGACCATCTGGTAGAAGGGTGGCAGGACTGTTACATGGAAGCAGAGAAGTGAGACAGAGATAGACACAGCTACTGATTGGGATGACACAGCTACTGCCTGGGATGACACAGCTACTGCCTGGGATGCTACTGAAGACAAAGAGGGAAAGAGAACTATCCTGGTTTCTCCACACCTCCCTCTACGTTCTGCCTCACACAGGATCTCTACTCCCTGGATCCATCTGGCAACCAGATGATGCAGAAACCTGGGAAGTACAACCTGGATCGGTTACTCCTTGTGATGTACTGACTGCAGGACAGAGCAAGGAGCACGCTTAGGGACTCCATTACCAGCACTAAATAAGCATATGCTGAGTGGATGAATGAAGTCAAATGTGTGCAGAGTTAGGGTTGCTGGTTGACGCTACATTATGGCAACACTAGCCTTTAACAGCATGGAAGGTTTAGATCTGTAGTAGGGATGCATGTGTAAGGGATATAGAGGTCCCCACCCACCCGGTGTATTATCTAGGGATGTATGGTCTGCCTGCCTTCTCCTGTGGTGTCCGGTTGCTGATAAATACCCCTTCTGGCTGGTTGTTTCTTTAGCTATGCAGTATTGCTTTGGCTTATCCAGAATACTTTATGCATTGCTCGTTTTATTTGATATGTTGATTTCATTAATGCCTATGAGAAAAGTTGTATTTTTCACTTCCCATTTCTTAGGCAGGAGCATGATACTGAAGCCTCGGGAACAAAGATCATAATACCACCTCAGTTTTAGGGAAACAGAGGAGTATTTCAAATAATTGGGTTAGTCACTATAATCTAGGGAAATCAGCTTTGGGTATCAGTTCCTCTTCAAAGTCTTACCTACGAAGACAAAAGGGAAACATCACCATTAGTAATCCTGAATAAATACACAGGCATCACACACACACTAATGAATTACTCAGGGTAAAAGAAATCTCCATTGTTTCAAAGAGCCAACTCATGCACAGGACCCGGTCCCACCACCTGGATGCCTCCCAAACAGATCAAGCCAGTCAACTGTCTCACTTATCCAGAGGGCCTGATCCAGTTGGGGGCTCCTCAGCCATTGGTTCATAGTTCATGTGTCTCCATTCGTTTGGCTATTTGTCCCTGTGCTCTATCCAACCATGGTCTCAATAATTCTCACTCATACAAACCCTCCTCTTTCTCGCCAATTGGACTCCTGGAGTTCCACCTGGGGCCTGGCCATGGCTTTCTGCATCCAGTTCCCTCAGCCATTGGATGGGGTTTCTAGTACGACAATTAGGGCCATCCTATCACCAGAGTAGGTCAGTTCAGTTTGAAACCTGGGGCTTATACAGGGACACTTGGCTCAGCCTGGGAGGAAGGGACTGGACCTGCCTGGACTGAATCTACCAGGCTGAACTCAATTCTCAGGGGAGTCTTTGCGCTGGAGGAGATGGGAATGGGGGGTGGGTTGGGGGGAAGGCGGGGGGAAGAGAGGGGGGAGAACAAGGGAATCTGTGGCTGATATGTAAAATTAAATTAAATTATAAACTAAAAAGGTCGAATAAAAATACTTAAGATAAAAAAAAGAAATCTCCATTGGCTTCTAGAATGCAAACTGAATGTTTAGTTCTTCCTAGTTACCCGGACACTGCTTGAGGTAGTAATAATTAATGAAGGATCTGAGGATGTTATCATGAGATTTTTGTAAATATCCCTTATGATCCGTAGTTAAACAAACAGAAATCCACAAAATCACATAGTCCATGGAAATGGTTTTTTAAAAAATAACAATAAAGTCGAGTTGGCTCCTTGCTTGAAATTAGTGTGTCTGTGTAGAAGGTGTCTGAGCTTCACTTTTTCTCTTTTTACACCACCCTCCTTGAATACCAGATTGCAAGCTCAGTGGGTCTCTTGGGCATCATTTCTGGCTCCACATCCAATTTCTTAAATTGAAAATTCAATATAAGTTGCTAAACCTTACCGGGGCTAATTCATTTGCACGTATTAGATGTGATCTTACCCTAGAACATGGGGAAGAAATCATCTTTCTGCCTCTGATGTTTATAATTTTCAATGTCTAATAATCAAGTTATAAGAAACATAAACTACCAGTGGGATTTGTGAATTGCTTTCTCCTTCTAAGTAGCTGCCAAGTGAGTTTGCATTGCTGTTCTTGTTCATCCTTCAGTTTTATTCTTAAGGATGAATAAGACGAATTTGTGAAATCAAATTCAGTTGAAAGAGAAAGCATGGTATGCAAAATGACCTCAAAGAATTATGTCCTAGACCTTTGCCCTCAAACTTTGCATTCCAAAGCCTATCATTTGTAGCACAAGTTACTGGTACCCTGCCCAGGTTCCCTTTGTCAGCTGGCCCACCCTGTGCTCAGCTGATAAGAGTGGAGGTTCATAGCTGCCTCCCTTTCTGGAGGATTGCTCTTGTGTACTAGATCTCAAGTCTCACTTGGTTCCATGGTCCAGGGCTGACTGTGAGGCCGAACACTGTGGTTATGGGGGAGCATGTGGCATAGGATCATCTTTATCTCCTTGCAGACTGGAATCAGAGAGAAGTGGAAATGGGAAGATGTCAGGGCCAGAGGTAACATTCAGGGACACAGCTCAGCAACCACCTTCCAATGATCTCCCAATAATCTACTCAAATTTTGAATCTTCCAATGAACTAAACCATTTAGAGGTCTAATGGCCTAATTGTCTCATGAGAAGGTCTCAAAGACGTAAGCAGAGCTGTGCCCTAGTGACTCCTTTGGTCCTTCTTACCCAATAAAGGTGATGATCAAGACTGACTTTTACACCTTGCCTGCTAGGAGCCCCCTTGTCACCCAGCCAGGTGATGATTGTGAGGTTTCTCTCCTGACCAGGAGCTAGCACGTGTCTGATGCCAGAGGTAACAGCTGAGCCTCTCTACCTCTGGTTAAGAAAACCTGTGTTGGTACAATCCACCTTCCACAGTGTCACATGTGACAGACTGGAGCTAATTCCTTCTTGATCTCATGTCCTTAATATTTTCTCCTTGCTTCACCAGAGAATGTTTCTCTCCACAATTTACTTATTCTAGAGATGCTGTCCCAGCCTCTGTTTCCATGGACCATTTTAATCTACACAACTATTTAGATACTGGAGGAAATTAACTTCTGAAGACAAAATAAAATGTAAGCCCTTGGGCCACTATCCACTGAAGCTGCCACTACTAGAATTAGTACTGAAGTCTCATAGCAAGTATTACTTGAGTATCTCTGATTATTAGAAAGTAAAATAGATAAAAATATGTACATGTTTAAGTCACTGAAACTAAAATTTGAAAGTTTTCAATTCACTAGTGCTGAGTATGTGTCAGCAAACATTCACTGCTGGGCTTTCCAGACTGGTCCTCTTCCCTCTGCCTGTTTTGGTTTTCCTTTCTGCCTGATGGGCACAGTCAACCACAACTGAGTACCAATTGTAGGAGGGCACAGGACTAGTTGTCCTGAAGGCATTAACACATCTGGCTGGTTCGTGAAAGGCTGTCTAAGGCCGCATAACTATTATCTCTCCCTTACAAATGATGAAACAGAGACTAAGTGACTACTGGTACTTGGCCATTAGACATACAGTTAGTAAATGACAGTAAAGATTCAAATCCTAGTCTGTGGATAAAACTCATGCTTTTAACCCATGTCTCCATGGTGTAAAATCAAATAAGTACCTTGTACTGTGCTATGCACCAATTTCCAGCTCCTACACACTTTCTAGATGATAGTTATCAGGACCTTAGTGGAATTACCCCTGGACATGGAACAACATTTCTTTACCCCTCAGCCTGTAGCTGTTTACGGCTGATTCAGGAATCCAGATGCCCAGATGTTTTGTTTGATGTTCTAACCACCCCGGAAAAGCACACCCCTGCTTGAGCTCCTTCACTTGCCTATCCTGTGTTGCCCTGTCTTGGGGTTACTCCCTTCTCAGATCACTTGCTCTTCAGTTCTTGACTCAAGAGTCCCTGCCTAGGAAAGGCTTTAGACACTTGGATATTATAGACTTCTGCACCAACCTTTTATCTTTTAAAATAATAAATGTGTTTATTACAAAGCTATTAACATTTTCATTGTTAAAAGAAAATGTAAGTCAAAATAAAATAGAAGTTAAAACACAATTTATACCCCAAGCCACATAAACTAGAAAATTTCTATTTGCATATTGCATAACTACAAGTCTGAGATGTTGTATAATCTGTGCAGTTATCTTTTAATGTAACATTGACAGACTTTATGCCAGTAAATCTTCCTCTGTGGAATAACTGTTTTGCTCACATGGACTTTTCTACTCTGGTTTTGGAAGGTAAGAGACAGCTCCCAGCTCCCTATCCTGCTGTTACTGACTATGAACCATTCAGTGTAACGCCAGTGTTTTCTCAGGGTACTGGCAGAATTCTGACTTTGCTCTGTTTGGTCTTAGTGTTAAACTGCACTTGAATATCCTTTGAATACAGCTCCTTTTCAAATGCACCAAGCCACTAGAATGAAAATGAACATTTCATATGTAGGGAAAAAGTGCTTATAGGACCAGTTTATGTTTACAAATGGCTAAGTTTCTCCATATTACTGAGATGAAGATTCAATACCATGTATTCATTTCTCTTGTTCCTGAATGCAAAAGCATTTCCCTGCACATTCCAGAAACAGAGAACCCTGTAGCTACATCAGGAGACACCATTGATATTAGGAGTTGGCATTTAATGGTTTCCTATGGCCGATTAAGGGACAATTTGAGAATCAACAAAGCAAATGATGTTAGTAAAGGTTGATATAGAGAGGGAAGCTTCTTCTGCTCTGTTAGGTTTAGCACCTGAAGCTTTTGAGTAAGACTAAAGAAAGGCAGATTAGTAGTGGAAAATGAAATTTATTTATGTGTCCATATACTTATTGTCCCACAATGGTAAATGGCTCAAAGTAGCATTAGAATTTAAGACTTTTAAAGTTAAAATATTTAGTTGTTTTTATTCCTGTATATATGATTATTTCACCTGCATGAATTTAAGGACACCATGTGTGCAATGCCTTTGCAGCCCAGAAGGAGGCAGTGGATCCCCAGGAACAGGCGTTATGGACAGCTGTGAGCCACATGACAAGAATGCAAGAATGCTGGAGATGGAACCCAAGATCTCTGCAAGAGCAAGCTCTTTAAATCAGAGCCATTTCTTCAGTCCAAGAACTTGAGATTTATTAACACATCTACATCATACTATACTTCACAAATGTGTACATTTAAGATCATGTAAACTGCAATGTTTAAAAGCAAACGTAATAGGTAAAGGGGAGGAGAAGGGGGCACTTGGGAGATACAAAACCAACTTGTTTGGAAAATTGAGATTTCAAGAGACAGACATGAGATAGGAAGTGCATGGTAGTGTTTATCTACACAGGTGCAAGTGGTTGCTTCATTGACTTTGGGGCCATAAACCTCCCTGGAAAGGGGATCTGGAATAAGTTTGCTTGTGCTTTACCTGCTGTATTAGCTCAGGATAGAAGAAGAATTTATGGCAGATAAATAACCAATTTGAGTTTGGAGTTGTCTCCACAGTTACATCCTATCAAGTAAGAAATGAATGCCTGAGTACTGGTTAAATTACCAAAATTAAGAGAAGAGAATATCTTGGCCAGCAGAGGAAAGGCATTTAAGGAATAGAAACATGACAACATCAAAATATTATCTTATTGTTATTGTCAGTGTAAATTCCAGAAGGAATCATCCATAGATAGTAATATTAGTGGGTAAAACTGATGGGAATGAAAACAAATTTACATACTTTCAAAAACACTCCCCAGGACATCTCGAAGTGCATAGAGAAGAAACTAAAGGACCTCCACTTTAGAGGACACGTGATGATGTGTGATATAAACTTCCCAAACTCTAACTTCTGGTTAAAGAGTTACTGAAGAGTGCCATGTCACATTCTTGGAATTGTGCATCAAACATAGTGCTTGAATCTGTTCTCAGGGAAGTAGTGTAACAAAAATTGAGGGACATTTGCAAAACAACTGCCCTGTATTCTTAAGTAGCAATATTATTAAAACAGTAAAAACAAAGGAGGGCTGTTCTAAGGGAAAAGGAACTAAAGACACACAGTAACTGGATGCATTTTCTGGCTGGATTTTCCTTTGCTGTAAAGTTTATTACTTTGAGTAATAGCAAAACCTGAAGAAGTTCTCTAGATAGTTCCTTTATGCATTGGCTTCCTGATGTTGACAATGAAAACATCATAACATTGCTCTGTCAGCAGTACCCATTTGGGCAGCTGAAATAAGGTTGTATAAAGGAATTTCTGTACATTTTAAGTAGCCTTAAAAATGGATTTAGGGGTAGAGATAGAAGTGAGGTTTTCCTGAGGAAGAAAGAAACTCCTCCTGTGAATTTCATGGAATGTTCCTGACACATCTCATGGCTGTATCATATAATATTTAGAAACTTGTCCAAACAGCACTCACTCTTTCATAAACCACTTCCTTACAACTCTCCCATTCATTCATCCATCCATCCATCCATCCATCCATCTATCCATCCCATCGCATCCATCATCTATATGTATCATGTTTGAACAGGAAATGCATCCCACTCACCCCCAGGCTCATGTGTTTAACATTTAGTCCCTAGCTAGTAGCACTGTTTGGCGGACATTATAGACACTTTACAAATGTGGCCTAACTTGAAGAAATAGTTTTTTGGGGGTCAGTTTTTGAAGTAGCTTCCTGCTTCCTGACAATCCTCACTGTACTGCCTGCTCCCACCCCCAGAAGCCGAGCCCCACCAGCTTCCATAATAGACTATTCCCTTTCAAACCGTGAGCCAAATAAATCTGTCCTTGCTTAAACTGTTCTGACAGGTATTTTGGTCTTAGTGAGGAAAAGTAGATAATATCCATCCACCATCCACTCATCCATCCATCCATCCATCCATCCACCCACCCACTATCTATTCTACTGTTCTATATTTCTGTCAGAACCTTGACATGTCTTCTTTCTAAACAACAGTCAAGCCTTAAATTTAAATCCCACAGGACACATTCATGGGCACTATTTTTATGATAGGCCCTTTTATCCATATTTTTATTAGTTCTTGATTCTAGATTTCTTAAATATATCTTTATTCTTTGATTCACTCTCTCCAAACATATTACTGGAATATGGTATCTTTAGTCATTCTCAAATAGTTTTCTGGTATATAAACATTTTGCTCAAATTATTAGCTATTTTATGAAGACCATCTGGATGGTTCCTTAGTTGCAATTTCTCTAAACTAGAGAAATGTTTATTTTATAGTAGGCAGAAGATAAGGAATTTATCTTCAAAGTGTTCACTAGTGGCTTTAGAATCATAGCTCAGAGTATTCCCATGGCTTTTAGTTTTAATTTGGATCTTTATAGAAGCTACCTAGAAACAGAGTTAGGTGTATTTGGGAGACATTTATATATATATAATATATTGACCTTATGACCTTAACTCTATTACAGAGCTCTATGGTCCAGTGAGAACATGCACTTAGTCATCCAACCAGAAGGTGAGGGAGTCCAATCTTCTTTAGTTTGGGAGAGAGTTGAGAGTTGCTTCTAGAGGTTGTAACTGCTATTCAAGATTGAGTTTTCTGGCATCTGAAAGTCAGATGCAAGAGCTCTACAATATTGAAGTAGAGGGAAAGAGTGGCATGAATACTGTCAAAACTTTACCTAGTTCAAGGTATCTGTGGTGCTTTAACAATGGTAACTGAGGAACAAACTCCCATTTCAGGGGCTATATATCATCTCTCTTTCCTCATGTTAAGTTGTGTTTCTATCAGTTTCTACTAGGTTTATTTTATTATTTTTTTGTAGTGTTGGAAACCAACACATGGCCATGTATATCCTAGGTGAGTGATCTACCACTGAGCTATCCTCTCAGCACTTGTTTTTTTGAGATAGGGTCTTGTTATATAGCCCAGAATGGCCTCCAGTTTGCAGTCCTCTGCCTTCATAGCGCTGGGATTATAGGCATATGCTATTTATACCCATTTTTTAAAAGTTATTTTTGTGTCCTTTCAAAATCATTATTGTTTGTTTGTTTTGTTTTTGTTTTTAATGTGGTTGTGGGATTGATCCCAGGGCCTTACATGTGCACTAGAATTATTTTTAATAAACATAATGGAGCATATCTGGCAAAATTTTGACACTATTTATAACTTCAATGTGGCCTACTGCACTGTCAATGAAGGTTAGGCATTTATATGGATAACCTGCCATTCATTGCAATATGAAAGAGAGCTGTATGTTACAACTCTGGATATTTATAGCTATTTCAGCAAAAACTGATCTTTAATAACATATTCTTAATGGGTGGATTGCTTTGGCTTTGCTGGATATACGTACTTTCTCCAAACTTTGGACTCTGGGCCACAAAGCATGAACCCCAGGAGGCAACTGCTATGACTTAGAGCTTGAGGGATGCCTCCAATGCTTGAGCTTTCTCCGTGATGTTCTTTTGGAAAGGCATCATGAAGTCTTCAAAGTCCACCTCGTATGTGAACCTCTCCCTTCGCAGTTCCCTCTTCCTGATCAGCTCTGCCGTTGTGGCTTCAGGGCTCCAAATCTTAAATAAACAGCCCAAACCAAGGCAGTTGTTATCATGATGTCCAGTGATTTTCACTCACACATATTTTTAATTAAGCACATGCTAGGTGGGCACTCTATCTAGCCTAGGAAGACTTCCTATAGTTTCAACCTGGAACTATCAGATACACATCTAAAGAACATTTTACTGTTTTACTCTGTCTTATGACCTTAGTGGCTATGTGAACATCACTATTTCTGGTGAGGACCACCTAGGAAGAGAGATCAGAAATGCTCTTCAGGTCCTTCTTTAGTTACTTCTGTGCCAACTGATGCTTAGTTCCATGATATCAAAAAAAAAGTCAAAGAAACTGAAAAGTCCTTTATGTCTAATGTAGAAGTCAAATTATTTTCATAGCAGAAGGCAGAACGTGCTACTTAATCAGCATGGCTGTATGGGTACTGGAAAGATAATTCTTTTCCCCAAAGATGTCTCTACCTATATAAGGGCAGGTATTTTTAGGAGACTAATGAGTTTGTTCAGCCTTCGTAGTATGAAATTTCCAAGTAAGTACTGGTAAGGAGTAGGGTCTGAAAAGCTACAACACCAAGTGCCTATAGAATATGATGACTGAATGGCTATAAGGAATGCCATTGACTAAAGAAGACTGCAGTCTTTTAAGGAAAATGTACATATTAGTATGGAAATAATAACAAATAGAGCCACATATTGGGAATTAACAGTTGGTAATTAACAGTTGAGATGAATGTGGCAGAACCTGGCCAAGGAACCTCCACAACCGTACTGTAGAAAAAGAATGTGGGCATTTGTTCAGATGATCTATAGAGTCAGCATGTGAAAAATGACATTATGAACTCTGCTATGTTATAGAAGTGTTCACAAAAACACTTACCCTATGTGGGACAAATGTGATATCAATCTTCTTAGTGTAACCACTGGTAATCAGTGAATTGAGGTAAACCACATTTTCCTTGTGTACTTTCTTTTCCTCTGTTATTGTTGGTATAGCATAAATTGATGATAGTGTTTCCTGGAAAAAAGTGGTTTTTTTTAAAGTACAAATTGCTAAAATCAACATTCATTAATATCCTTTTATGTCTACACTTTACTTTGAAGTTAGGAAAGAAAGAAAATGTTAATTTGAGATAAGATAAAATGTCATTAATACTATAACTATGAATGTGGAGAGATGATTCGCTTGTAGTGCTAGTCTTCACTTAATTAATTTTAACAGGGACAAATAACATGAGTTTTCAAGATATATATCCCTGATCTATGGCTATTCATAGGATGGACTCCTACTAAAATGATAATGGTGCATATGGTAGGAGTTGCAGTTGGTGGAGACCATGTCACTATGATTAGCCCATGACTAGAACTCTGTCCCCTCTGCCAAGGTTCCTTTACCCAGATCATTTCCTACTTTCTATATTCCCCAGCCTTTCCATGTAATGACATTAGGGCTTTTATTTCTTGACTTTCATTGACTTTTCTCTCCCTTACAAGGAATTCAGTGAACCATCTGCTCCCCCAAAGAACCTTCCAGCTTGGAAATGCACTTAGGACATCCTTACTAACAGCAATGTCTTCATTGTCCTCTCCTCCTATGTTTGGTCATCCCACCATATCTGTAGACGTTGGAACCATGTAGATACAAATGCAGTATCAGTTTTCTTTTCAATATTCTAATCATTTGACTGAATCATTTGTATGTTGTATGGATTCTGTTTACAATGAACACTTTGTAGAGTCTTCAGTAATAATTTCTTGCTAGATATATCTTTATAATTATTACCTAAGTTGTATATAGCATGCTATTTTCCTTTGTTGTTATACAACAGCATAACAGAGTGCCACTGCCACCCCAAGAGTTTAAGGACTTCCCATTAATATTTGATAGTCAGTCTCTTTTTGTTTTACCTCTTCTTTCTTAATGTCCATGCCTTCAGTCTTCAGTTTAGGAAGCTTGCCTTTCATTTTTTGATTATCTAATGGTTTAGGCAGGTTATCTGTCTTTTCTTTTATCATATCAATTATTCTATAATCAGCATATGCCTTTGCAACATCCATGGCAGCATGTCCTGTTTCACACATAAACATAAATTGAAAGTTACAATAAACCAATTTAATGATAAACCATGTAGAAAAGAAAATCAGCATGTTAGCATACAGCAGTGTGAATTCACAAAGCATAATAGATATTCTCCAGAGAGGATCTCACTATAAAATCCCAGTAATATCAAGAGCCATTTACTAGCACAATTTCTTTCTTAAATCTTTTAACAACATATTTTAAAATGTGAGTGAGAAATGTTAAATTACATTTTGAATATTAAAGTTTGCTGTCCCTTCCATCTCCAAAAAAACATTTTTTGTGATAGCATTTTTCTTTTAATCATCTTTTTCAAGGAGGTAAATTCCAAATATTCTGGGAAGCTGGTACTCAAAAGTACTCTAGACAGGTATTATTTTACCTTTAACATCACCAGGCAAGGCTGGTACAATACTACCTGTGATCCAAGATAACTTGAAGTATGCTGTCTGACAGAACCCAAGGCAATTCCAATTAAGAAAAAGGCACCTCCAAACAGCTTTAGACCACGTGTGTCCTAGAGCTAGGAAGGCCTGCCTCAAGTCAGGGATTTGTCCAATTTTAAGAGACTATCAATGTTTACACTCTCTAGCTGGCCAGGTTTTATGAAACAAAGGCTTTAGCAGTGACCTGTAAAATGGTCTGTGTTAAAAACTAACATGACAACAGCCAACATTAAAGCAAATGGAGAGAAACTCAAAGTGATTCCACTAAAATCAGGAACAAGAAAAGGCTGTCCGCTCTCCCCATATTTATTCAATATAGTACTTGAAGTTCTAGCTAGAGCAATAAGACAACAAAAGGACATCAAGGGGATACAAATTGGAAAGGAAGAAGTCAAACTTTCACTATTTGCAGATGACATGATAGTACACATAAGTGACCTGGAAAATTCGACCAAGGAACTCTTACAGCTGATAAACACCTTTGGTAATGTGGCAGGATACAAGATTAACTAAAAAAAATCAGTAGCCCACCTATATACAAGTGACAAACGGGCTGAGAAAGAAATCAGAGAAACATTACCCTTTACAATAGCCACAAATGATATAAAATACCTTGGGGTAACTCTAACAAAGCAAGCAAAGGACCTGTATGACAAGAACTTTAAGTCCCTGAAGAAATTGAAGAAGATGTCAGAAAATGGTAAAATCTCCCATGCTCATGGAGAGGTAGGATTAATACATTAAAACTGGCAATCTTACCAAAAGCAATCTACAGATTCAATGCAATCCCCATCAAAATCCCAACACAATTCTTCACAGACCTGGAAAGAATACTTAACTTTATACGGAAAAACAAAAAACCTAGGATAACTAAAAGAATCCTGTATAATAAAGCAACCTCTGAAGGCATCATGATCCCTGACCTCAAGCTCTACTATAGAGCTATAGTAATAAAAACAGCTTGGTACTGGCATAAAAACCAACACATGGACCAATGGGAATTGAACTGAAGACCCTGACATTGATCCACACACCTATGAACATATGATTTTTGACAAAGAAGCCAAAACTGTACCATGGATAAAAGAAAGCATCTTCAACAAATGGTGCTGGCATAACTGGATGTTAACACACAGAAGATCGCAAATAGATTCATATCTGTTGCCATGCACAAAACTCAAGTCCAAGTGGATCAAAGACCTCAACATAAATCCAGTTGCACTGAACTTGATAGAAGGGAAAGTAGGAAGTAGTCGTGAATGCATTGGCACAGGAGACCACTTCCTAAATATAACACCAGTAGCATAGGCACTGAGAGCAACAATTAATAAATGGGACCTCTTGAAACTGAGAAGCTTTTGTAGGGCAAAGGACATGGTCAAAAGACAAAAACAACAGCATACAGAATGGGAAAAGATCTTCACTAACCCCACATTTGACAGAGGGCTGATATCCAGAATATATTAAGAACTTAAGAAACTAGACATCAAAATACCTAACAGTCCAATTAAAAAATGGGCTATAGAGCTAAACAGAGAATTCTCAACAGAAGAAGCTCAAATGGCTGAAAGACATTTAAGAAATTGCTCAACATTCTTAGTCATCAGGGAAATGCAAATCAAAATGACTCTGAAATACCATCTTACACCCGTCAGAATGGCTAAGATCAAAAACACTGAAGACAGCTTATGTTGGAGAGGATGTGGAACAAGGGGAACACTCCTACACTGTTGGTGGGAATGCAAACTGGTAAGTCACTTTGGAAATCAGTCTGGCGTTTTCTCAGAAAATTGGGAATCAATCTCCCTCAAGACCCAGCTATACCACTCTTGGGCATATACCCAAGGAATGCTCAATCATACCACAGGGACACATGCTCAATTATGCTCATAGCAGAATTATTTGTAATAGCCAGAACCTGAAACAACCAAGATGCCCTTCAACTGAAGAATGGATAAAGAAAATGTGGTACATATACACAATGGAATACTACTCAGCAGAGAAAAACAATGACACCATGAGGTTTGCAGGCAAATGGATGGAACTAGAAAATATCATACTGAGTGAGATAACCCAGACTCAGAAAGACAAACACGGTATCTACTCACTCATAAGTGGATACTAGATGTAAAGTAAAGGATAACCAGACTGCAACTCACAGCTCCAGGGAGGCTAGCTAGTAAAGAGGACCCTAGGAAAGACACAAGGATTGCCCAGCAATGGAGAAATGGATGAAATCTACATGAGCAAACTAGGGGTGAGGAGGGAGGTAATGGAGGGCAAGGGTCAGGGGAAAGAGAACTTAGAGGAGTGGGAGGTCCTAGCTGGATCAGGAACAGAATGGGAGAACAAGGAAATAGATACCGCAATAAATGAAGACACCATGGGAATAGGAAGAATCAGAGTGCTAGAGAGGTCCCCAGGAATCCACAAAGATGACTCCACTATAGACTACTGGCAATGGTTGAGAGGGTGCCCGAGCTGACCTACTCTGGTGATCAGATGGCTGAACACCCTAACTGTCATGATAGAACCCTCATCCAGTAACTGAAGGAAGCAGATGCAGAGATCCATGGCCAAACCCCAGGTGGAGTTCCAGGAGCCCAATCGATGAGACAGAGGAGGGATCATATGAGCAAGAGATATCGAGACTATGATTGGAAAAAGTACAGAGACAACTAGCCAAACTAGTGGAAACACATGAACTACGAACCAATAGCTGAGGAGCCCCCATGGAACTGGACTAGGCCCTCTGGATAAGTGAAACAGTTGTTTATTTTGAACTGTTTAGGGGGCCCCCAGGCAGTGAGACTGGGACCTGTCCTTAGTGCATGAGCTGGCTTTTTGGAACCTAGTGCCTATGCTGAGACACTTTGCTCAGCCTTAGTGCAGGGAGGAGGGGATTGAACCTGCCTCAACTGAATGTACCAGGTTCTGCTAACTCCCCAGGGGAGACCTTGCCTTAGAGGAGGTGGGAATGGGGGGTGTGTTGTGGGGGGGAAGGCTGGGAGGTGGGAGGAGGGAGGACAGGGAAATCTGTGGTTGATATGTAAAACGAAGAGAAACAGTCTTCCCCAGGCTATCCAATACCAAATGGTCAGCCCTGAAGGCATACATACAAGTAACATTAAAAACACTGAGCAAGTTGTATTTATTTGTTTAGGAATGTGCTTGTGTTTAATGACAATTAAAGAAAAAGAGGTCATGAATTTGGTCATGAATTTGAAAGAGAAGAAGGTGAAGGGAGTAGATGAGAGAGTTTAGAGGTAGGCAAAGGCAGGAAAAATTACTTTTTAAAAATTATCATAATTTCAAAGAAGTTTAAAAACAAAACTATAAGGAGCCTCAAATATTCTAAATTTGTTTTACTTAGTTTTGCCATCAGAGATAATCTTTTAAATGCACTGGAAATGAAAATAATGGTATTCTAAGTTTAGTTTGTGTATATACAAATGCAATAATTTTATATTATATATGTTTAAACACATGGATTATCAATATATTTCTTTATTTTTAGTCAATATGCATTGTAACTAAAGTATCCTTTAGTAACCATCCAATTAAAGCATACACCAAAGATTAGAAAAAAAAGTATTTACTGCAATGTAATCAAAAAATTTTCTGTCATTTGAACTTAATGAGTAAAAAGAACTTTGGGTTTATAGTTCTTAGTTCCTTCCATTTTATTAACCAGCTTTTTTTTTGTAACTTTACTTTAAAAAAATATCAGAGCCAGGCGGGTAGTGGTGCATGCCTTTAATCCCAGTACTCGGGAGGCAGAGCCAGGTGGATCTCTGTGAGGTCGAGGCCAGCCTGGGCTACAGAGTGAGTTCCAGGAAAGTTGGGGAAAAAAAAATCAGTCCACATAGACTGCAAACGTAAGGAGCTTAGCCTTTAAACCAGTGATTTGAAGAGTGATAGGTTTCAGACATGCTTCCCTAACATTTAACAAAGGCTGTGTTTCTACAAGAACAAAATCAACAGGATTTGGAATTTAAAATCAATTCCCCATCTTTCCCCAGACATCAATAATACAAATTCATACCTTTTCTATTTTCAAGCTGGAATTTGGCGCCAATATCAAGTAGGTATTTTACTGTGTCCAGTCTACAGCTCTCAATGGCTCTACTTAAAGGAGTGGAGTTGTTGATTGACATTGCATCTATTACAGCCCCAGATTTAACAAGAAGTTCAACAATGTCTTGCTGGCCAGCATGGCATGCGAAATGAAGTGGAGTCCACAGAAAATTATCTGTTGCATTAACATTCGCCCTGTATAATAATAAGACAGATACACTAATTAAGAATTTCGGCTATCCCAAACATTGGAACCTAAAAAGTCAAAGTAAAGAATGTTATTAAGCTATCAATTGGAAGAAGTCTGAGGAAAGAAAACAACTGTGCAAATTTTGTTTTCATATGCTCCCAAATGCTTTGGTTTTACATCATTTGGTAGCCTTAACTTCTTTTGTTTATATATATGTTTGGCTTAAAAAGTTACTTAGGTGCTGGTTTTTGCAAAGGTTAAAATCAAGGAAAATTCTAAATCTATTTCAGTGAAAATAAAGTTGGAGCAAAAAGATAAAATTTACATTAGTTCACTTTGTGTCTACTTTCTCTACATGTTCTGAAGTTTAAATGAATGTTCATTATTTTAAAATCTAAGCACTATGATGTATTATTTAAAATTTTCACCCTCATTAGAACTTCACTCCCCAAAGTTATTTAGTTACTCGGTCGTGTGATAATATGCAAATGAGTATCTTTGACATGAAACACTATGATAGCATTAAATGTCTTCTCCTGGATTTGCAATAATTGTGCTGATAAGAGAATGCTCTTATCATATTTTAACTCATTGAATCATCAGTGAGTTCAGAGCTCGTCCTTTTAGAGCTGGTTGCATAGTTGGGGAAATGGAGGCATACAAGTGTTCAGAAACTTGCTTCCAGTTACACAACTGAGGCAGAAGCACCAATTAAACCCAGAAATGGTTTTTCGTTTAAAGAGATAAATGAAAAGAACACGAGATAAAGATCTTTATAAATGAAGCAAGGCGGTCGTTCCTGTCTGCAGATGGTGGGAAATGGAGAGGTAAGGATATCCTCTGTCACTGTCCTGATGTCTTTTATCATTGTGCCAGTTGTTTTACTTGTATATGCTTTCCATAAAAGAAGAGGAAGATTAAAATATGACCCCACACCATCTCATCTTAGGTATGGCCCTAAGGCTGAGTTGTCCCATCCCTAGCAAGAAGCAAACGATGTCAACTAGGAGACATTTCCAACCCAGAATGAAAAGTTTGCTTTTCTCTGTGGTCTTCTTGGTGGGCTACTACTGTCTTTGTGCATCCACGATCCCATGTGACCCACCCCCTTGCCTGCATCCTCAATTTTGGCTATCCACTGCAGTGGGTGGGGGAAATATCAAAACCCCAAACCTTAAAGCATACCCCTTTTCAAGAAGAAACTTGACCACATCCATGTTGCCACTGGCACACGCTGTCATGAGTGGGGTCTTGTAAGAAGTATCCTTCATATCCACAGGTATTCCTGCCTCGAAGGCCTTTTTCAGAGAGGCAAGATCTCCTGCCTTGGTGATAAAATTAATATTTGTGAAGGCCCTCCCCGGATCATCAATGTACCACTCCGAATCGTCCTGGATGGGGTGTTCAGGGGGGTGGTCCCGGTTAAACCTGCTGCAGTCGGTGACATTCTGGTAGGTCTCGATCATGTAGTAGGGCGGGCCCCCGTCTGGCCGTCGCGGAAAGGCGATCTCCGGGATGGTGCATATCGGGAGAGGTAGAACAAACTTGCCTTTCTTTGGCTTTTTGCCCAAACCCTTTCTCTTTTTCTTAGGCCCGAAAGATCCCAAGACGTAAGACTTGCCTAAGTATTTGGTTCCCTTAAAGAACTCGTTAATGTTGACCCCGCTGTCCCGGCTTTTTTCATGCATTTGAGCAACGGTAAACAGCTGCTCAGAGGTGGCAAACTCTTGCCTCTCCTCCAGGGTCACCACGAAGTCGTCTTTGCTGACTACACCATCGCCCCTGTCCACGAAGGCAAAGGATTCCCGAAGGAAAGCCTCATGCTCCACGGACCAGTCGTGCAGCCTGAGGGCCCAGAGTGGGTTAGGATTTTTAGCTCCAGGCTTAGCGAGTTTAGCCGCAGTCCGCTCTGCTCGACGTATTTCCTTGCCTGCGGCTTTGAAGCCTCCGTCTTTCGCCACAGCTCGGGGTGTTTTATGTTCCAAATTTTTCCATTTCAGGTCACATCCTAAAAAAGAAGCATCACTGTTAAGAACGTGCCAAAGTTACCTTCTTGGCCCCACAAAACCACACTCCCAACTATTTTCTTGAGTTCGTGTAGTCAGAGGTTTGCCCTTAAAACTGATATATAAAGAACATATTTAGCCATTGTAATTACCAAAAGAAACAGCAATTTATTTTCCTGAGAGTGAACTTGAGTGAATTCTGAGAGACAAGTTTACAGTATGTATCTGCTCGTCTGTATCCCTGTAGATAGTAACTTAGATAAAATGTAGATGTTTGAAACAGATATCAAATGGGGTATTTGCTGGGGAGATGATGCTAATAACAAAGGGAGGTTGCCCTGGAATTCAATAAAAAGATTCTGGATCCACACAGCTTGCATAGGACTCCATCAATTCAGACTACAGCAGATGCCTTCTTCTTTTTTTAATACAAAATATTTTACAAGCTCAAACAATATTTCACATTTTCTCCATTAAGTGAAGGTAATTTATTCTAATTTACTGTTTTGTGGTAAATCATGTGAACAACCTTAACAGATGAAGAACTAATTTGTTTAATCAAAGTTGAGTATTCCAGACTTGTGTTTGTATACAAGATAAATATTAAAATTCATTATTTACCTTGCTTAAAATAATAAGATAAAAAATTAAGAAGTCTGAACATGTCTAACTATGTCAGGGAACTGCTTAATGCTACCAAGAAGTCTGTAATATGTCTTGAGATATTAAAAACCCATTATATAAATAAGTCAATCCATGAAGACGCTCTTTCTGGTTTTTTAATCTAGAGGCAGGCTAGGCAGCTGTTTTGCCAACATGACATAATAAAAGCATACAGATGGCTGTATGGGAATGAGACTCTTTATTTCTTAGCAAAAAGAGATGCCAAATATGCTAGCCTTGTCAGACCTCAGGGTTCAAGGCAGTCTTCTTCTCTTATGAGTTGGGGAGAAGAGAGAAGGTACCTAGAAATCTAAGCAACCTTCTCCCCCCAAAACAGGAAAGGAAAAAAGAATAATATCCGCAATGGTTTTCAGTTAATTCTTTACTAGAATTGTTAAAAATGTGTATTTATACTAAAGCTAACAAACTTAATAGTAATAAAAATCCTTGGAGGGGTAAGTGACAATGGTAGCTTTGAAAGTTTTACAGTGGTCAGTTTTGAGAACAGTCGTTTACTGGGAAAGTGGCCAGGACAGTCCCAGGGAGAATTCTGTAGCATGGTAGTGCTGTAGACATGCTGCTGTTTTTGCTTGACTATTTTGCTTTGTCTGGGATTCTAAACTCACAATACTTCTCAAGCTAGTTCCTTCAGGTTTCCCCTGGAACTGAGGGTTTGGAGATTTTAAACCCACCTTAGCTTGCCCTCCTAGTTAGAAAACCTTTTGGTGGTTAAAAGACAGGTGTGATCTTGTTTGATGATACTTCCAAACACTCTACAGATCTCAGAGCATTTTCAAAAATTTGTTTTAGGAATGCATCTTAGGATTCATCCAGGAAGATGGATTGTTTTCTTCCATCACTGGGTCAGGCACTCATTCGTAAATGAAACTTTGGCTCTTTGCTTTTCAGGGCTGCATCCCAGTATTTTATCCTAGGATACATTATTGGTGGAGTACATGGTGACATTTGTCCCAGTAAGATATTGTTCAACACATTAAAGATGATTAAGATCACTCATCCTTGAAAGCATACTAATGTTTAGAAATCTGCATTGTTAAAAATGAAATGTCAGAATAAAATGCTGATAGTGGCAGGTTTAAAATAAGACTAATTAGCTTACTGGGCAAGAACTGCATATGACATAGTTTTTTTAGTTGTTAAAACAGTTTATTATTGGGAGAAACATGGGCTTATAAAAGTAAAACCAGGTCAATTATACTATTAGTTATATATATAAAATAAAAATATATATTTTATATATATAAATGGTTCTGAAATTTCTTTGTAGAGGACAGAAAAAGAAAACACTTTTATTATACAGTTGTATGAATTTTTTTCTATTTTTCATAAACTAGAAGAAACATAAAATTCAACAAAGTGCAAATGTATCTCCACTGAAATTAAGCTTTAGATGTACACTCAACTAGTGGGTAACTAATAAAAAGTGCATCTGTGTTGTTCAACTAACTAGTTAGTATTTCATGGTAAGGAATTTTCTAAAGCATAGTGTGTACTAGATAACTTGTTCCCTAGCTTTGAGAAAAATCTATGTTAAGTGTTGTTTATACTGAAAATAGTCCATAAATTTTTCATTTTATTTTGTTTCCCAGAAAGTATTTCCATTATAACTACAAATTACTCAGACATGTTATTTTAATTTGACATGCATTTAAAACATAAAATAATTGAAATTTCAGAAAAAATAAAATTGTTTTCAATGTTTTTCCTTCTTGAGATTGATTTTGAGACTCTTAAAATAAGAATATTAATCAATTTTAAGCATTTTAGTATTTAGTTAATCCATGAAAATCAAACACCTTTGGATTTAGGTTTTAATTCCTCTTATTACTAGATTCATAATTCAATGAGAAAAAATTCCATTTTTATCCTATGTTGGGTGAGGATTGGTGACTGAAAATTAAGTAGATAATAATTGATAGGTCTGAATTCTCTAGTCATTTATGAGCTATCAGACAGTTTTACCTCGCTGAGCTATATATTTACAGCAATCCGCAAAGCCACCCATAGCAGCATAATGAAGTGGTGTGTTCCCATTCATTCCAATCAACCCCATGTCTCCATTGTAGGCAAAGAGAAGCTTCAATATCTGCAAAATAAACAGGGAGTGGAAAAATAGGAATGCTCATTTACTACAAGAAGATTGGCAGCTAGACCTGTGCTATCCAATCTATTGTCTATTACCACATGTGGCTGTTGAAAATTCAAACTGAAATGAATTTTTAAAGTTCAATTCTTTAGCTTCTTAGACACATTTAAAGTGCTTAAAAGCCACCTATGGGCTAATGAGCTGCTGAAGTATAGAAGGTTTTCATCATTGCAAAAAGGTCTGTCAAGCTGCCTTGTTGCAGATGACAGAAACAGCCAGGTACCAGTAGCTATCAGAGGCATAACACAGCATTGTTCTAGGTGGCAGGTGTGTTAAGTGTGATAGTCAACTACATAGAAAAATATTACTGGTAATATTCAGTGAATAAGTTAGCAAATATATATATATATATATATATATATATATATATATATATATATATATATATATAGACAAGTTAGCAAATGCATAAAACTGTAAAGAGCTAGGATACGTGGTCAGAGTTAAAGTTTTACATTTGGAAAAATCAAGATAAAACAATGTAATAAACTTAGAAAAAAATGCCTGTCTTAGTGTAACCTACATGAAGGAGAGAGAAAAGAAAGAAGTCTTTAACAGTCAAATTTAAAGCAAATAGCAATTATTACATCAAAAAAGCCTCCTTTGGCAGCAAAATGAGCAGCATGGTGTCTATCATTGTCAAATGTATTCACTTCACCTCCTCTTTCCAATATGCCTCGAACTATGTCCACCACCCCTTCTCTTGATGCTTCCATCAAAGCCGTACGCCCTGTGGACTGGACATGAAAGAGATGAAATGCTATTTTTATTTTGATGCATGAACCATGGTCAATACAAACATGGATTGAATTCACTGGATCTTGGTTTTATGCTAAGACATTTAATGGTCTACATTTTTATTGTTTGCACCTAAAAAGGAGGAAGAATTCAGTCAGTACTGTGTATGACTATATGAAATGGAATTTTAAAGCTAGAGTCAAGGTTGCTCTGCATACCCCAGTAAGAATGTCATGCAATCAAAGCATATTTCTATATAGAAAGAAGAGTAAAAAATGAAGAGGGTGGACAGCATGTTAAAATTAGGCAGCATTTGTGTTCTAATGAGAAAAAAAATCTATTTCTGAATGTCTGGAAATGATAATTACAAAACCTGAAAACCCCAAATTAGCCAGCTCAGGAGAGGAATCAAGATATGTATATGAGAGGCAACAGAGTTTTCTTTTTATGGAGATACATTTTATCGGGTGCCAATGATACCCTTTCTATTTGCTATAAAGATATTTTAACAATATGAATGCTTAGGACCAATTTACCAACACAATTAGCGAATAAAGTATAGAATGGCAGGGACGTAAAGACAATGAAGTGTATCATCTTCAGCACTTTGTATAGACATGAACAAGCTAACAGGACAATTTTACCATGTCTCCCCCACCGAAACCATCCCTGCCTTTTTCCCTATTTGTTTTGTTCTGACATAGGGTCTCCCTGTGTAGCCCTGGCTGGTCTAGTATGTGTAGACCAAGTTGAGGTCTGCCTGCCTCTGCCTCTCAAGTGCTAGAACTAAAAACATGCACCACCATGATGGGCCCCAATTTTACCATGATTAAGTGCAAAACAAAATAAAAGAAACAACTCCCTTCAACAACAAACCCAACCACTTGACTGTGTAATATAGTAGAATAAAGAAATATTAACCACAGGGATAGTCATACTGAGTTGATAGCATTAGGATTGGCTCCTTTCTCCAAAAATGTCAGGCATATATCCTTCACATCATGTGCTTCTTCACAAGCTCTGAGGAATACTGGCTTTCCTTCGTAGGTGACGTTGTTGACATCTGCACCATGATCCAAGGCAATCAGTGCACAGCGATAATGCCGCTTTGTGGGTAAAATGCAGTAAAACAAAACACCTATAGAAAAACAGTTCCACAATGAGAATTCCTTGTCCAGTGCCAAATGGCTAGTCCTGAACACATAATACATACACGTGACATTATATGGACTCCACAGGTTTTATTTAGTAATATACTTATACATATGCATACACTAATAACTAATGAATGAAAAAAGAGGCCATAAGTTTGAAGGAGAGTGGGGAAATGGTAGAAGGGAGGGTTTGGAGGGAGAAAGGGGAAAGGAGAAACATTGTAATTAAATTAAATTAAAATCTTAAAAGGAAAAAAATTATTAAAAATCTATATATATTTGAATCTGGCAAAAATGTAGGAGAATTTAAAAGTCCATAAGATGTGTCTTTGACAAGGTTAGAAAATATTTACAACTAAATCTTACAGGACTTGAGCTAGGGAAGAACTGGAGCACTGATATGTGTGTCCTTGTTGGCCCTGGGATTTGACAATTTGTGGTCCATAACCCATGTGACCTTTCAGCTCTCCAGGGCTATGTGAGCCAGGAAGTTTCTTGGGTATGATGAGTTCCATTTGAACCCATGGTTATAGAGAGTAGGCTCTGGATTTCATAGCAGTAAGAAGAAAAACCAAAGCCACTCTACCATCATGATAAATCACTTTGTTCCACCAGAAAGAGGAAAATGTTATATCTTCACACCTGGGACCTCTAACATACTCTATATCAACTACTCTATGCCAAAAGTGTACTATATACCAGATATTGTTACAATTCTGACAGAGTGGTTGTAAGCAAGTTGTAGACAAATAAAAGTTAAACTCCAAACAGACTTTGTAATGAGCTTGCCCCCAAAAGAAGCTTCCTTCATTCAAAAATGAACAATAACCCCAAGCAAACAAGTATGTGAACTATGAAAAAGACAACATAAGATAGGGAAATGGATAATAAAAGTAGGTAAAGGGACATTCTCAAAAGACCACATTAATGAAAATGATTGGCTAACCTCTTTTTAATATTAGCAAAGAAACTAAAAATAACTCATTTAAAATAATTAATGCAAGGACAAACACCAAAAAAGACTGAAGAGACTAGAAGCCAGACAGAAAAAAAAGATAGGACTGAGCCAGCAGGACTCAAGGGAAGATATTAATGACTGAAAGTCACATTAGAAATAGGGAAGAGAAGAACAGAGCCTGCACCAACTGTGGTCAAAGGCAGAGAAAAGTCATGAAAATGTAAGCGGTAACTCAAAGAGAAGCAAAGATGACTCGACATGTATTTTAATAACGAAAGACAACACATGTCAGAAAAACATCACAGAGGTACAATGATAATTTTGTGAATGAGAAACCTGAATCTGAAGATCAGAAGGGAACACTGAACTTCAGAAAACGTGCTTAAGAACAATGAACATGAGGTAAAGCCAGGTGAAGTAAGTGTCATATGGGTAAAAACTCAACTCCTGTCTAATGTGAATCCAGGCTATTTCCAAGACTTTCTATGGTGGCATTGCAAGCAAGAAGATCTTTTAAAAAGGGAAAAGAAAATACAAAAATTTTATATCCAGTCAAGCTGCTGATCATATGCAAAGCCAACACACACATGACTAAGGATGTAAGAAATCAGTGAGAGAAGTCCAAATGAATGGGTTCAAGTACCTCATTTAAATTCCAAGTTTACCAATAGGTCTACATGTGCATAAGAGTTTCTGCCATCTCTTCAATCATAGAAATAAAGCTAAATTGCTGAAGGAATTCTAGGTACAGATAGATAATTTCATTATAATGTAGAAATTATGTAACAAAAATTTGGAAGGGGAGGGAAGAATAAATAATATAAGCATATGATATTTCTCCATCTTCTGCTGGAAATCATGATACTTAAAGAATATAGGGAGATAAAGGAAACAAAGTATTAATTGAGAGGATGAAGGGATTCATTGGAGAGCTAAGTGATTATAACTGACCATAAAACTGAGTGGTGGGAGGTTCTTATAGCAACATGATTCTTCACAAATAGAATCAATGGATAACAGCAGTAGAGGATAACAACTCACAGTTTCAAGGTTGCAGAAAGCTAGCAAGTTAGCCATTAAGAAAACTAAAAAAACCATTAGTTTTATAAAAGTAAAGAAAAAACCCTAGAACATAAAACACATAGGAAAATAATTTTGTATATATACATGCACATACTATAACTTCATAATATAAAATAAAATGACAGTTCTGAAGCCTAATTTATGGACACTTAGACACATACAGAGTAGATAAAAATTACACTATTGAAAGTGAAGTTATATACAAAATAAAGCCCTAAATATATTGCTGTGGGATGTTCTGTATGCCAAATGTGTTGCTCTGATTGGTTAGTAAATAATACACTGATTGGCCAGTAGTCAGGCAGGAGGAAGTATAGGTGGGACAAGGAGGAGAAGAATTCTGGGAAGTGGAAGGCTGAGTCAGAGACACTGCCAGCCGCTGCCATGACAAACAGCATGTGAAGATGTTGGTAAGCCACCAGCCACGTGGAAAGGTATAGATTTATAGAAACAGATTAATTTAAGATATAAGAATAGTTAGCAAGAAGCCTGGTACGGCCATACAGTTTGTAAGCAGTATAAGTCTCTGTGTTGACTTGGTCGGGTCTGAGCGGCTGTGGGACTGGCGGGTGACAAAGATTTGTCCTGACTGTGGGCCAGGCAGGAAAACTCTAGCTACAATATACTTCATATAAAACGACACACCTAAAATAGGATTACCCAGAAATTTGGAAAAACAAAGATGAAACTAAAAATAGAGTTCAAAGATAAAGGACGTGTCTAGCTACCCTGGGTTTTATCCCCAAACTACAGAAGAATTTAGAAAGAAGGAACGGAGGAAGGTGAAGCGGGAGGGAAGGAAGGAGGGAAGAATGGATATCTGGATGGAGAGCCAAAGACATAGTTAAAAACAGAAAATCAAAATTTTCTAATATATACAAAAAAATATACAGAAAGTAAGACCTGAGCCAGAGGGTCAGGGAGTTTGCTGTGATAGTGTGATAGTCTCTTAGTGATATCAGCAGCTACACCCACAAAGTCACCAAGACGACTGTCAAAACATGAGCTGAACCAGAAAAACACCAATTGGCATGCCAAAGACGATGGGGAAAAGCCCATAAGGCCTCAACCCTACACAAAGAACTACAGGCGACTGAGGAAAGTTGTAAGCAGGAGAGATGGCTTTGCTCAGAGAAGAGTACACCAACTGGTTGTCCAGTGCCAAATGGTCAGCCCTTAAAACATGCACACAAGTGACAGTACATGAATGGAACAGACTATATTCTGGAATGTACATGTAGAGACATACACACATATGCATGCAATAACAATGAGTGAAGAAAGAAGCCATGAATTTGAAGGAGAGTCAGAATGGATATATGGGATGGTTTGGGGGGAAGAAAGGGAAGGGAGAAATATTGTAAATACATTATAATCTCAAGAATAAAATACAACTTAAAAAGGAAGTCAGAGCTGGCCAAAACAACATAACAGAGAACCAAACCAAATCAAACTTTGAATGTAATACTAAAATTTCTTACAGAACCCTAAGGTGCTTGTGAAGTGCATGTTTTGCAGTAGCCTTTGTAACTCATATTTCAAAGCCTTTGTCATAGCCTTTTAATGACTATTTAAATATTCTGTTTTCTTGTCCTGTAGAAATACCATGCAGCCAGTCAAACTTCAAGCACCAGGAAGCAGGATGTTAATATCAGAGATTATCCTGGAATAAATAAAGCGGTGGCCCCCTAGCTGAGGATGTGCAAGCCAAATAAGGCTCCCTCAGAGGGAGAAGACAGGGGCCTTGTATTAATAATGAATCAACTTACAAGGTTACATTTCTTTTAATTCATATTTTGTTTCTCCCCATGTTACTTATATTGTTTTTCCCATATATTTCCCAGTCCTTTATTAACTTAGTACTAATTTGAACGAGTATAGATGTTACCCATATGGCTGTTGTATTTGCTATATTTATTTGACCTTGTTCCCAAATTTACTCTTTAGATTTTTACGTTATATAATGTCTCATTCTGATAAGCATCTGACTTACATACCTTGTTTCCAAAAGAAGAAAATAAACTTTTCTTCATTACAATGCTTTTCAGTTTATTCTACACAACTTAAAGTATGTTTGATACCATGTGGAACGACTGCTTCACAGTCAAATACACACACAAAATTATTTTGACTTTGTCCCCACAGGAACAAAAGAAGATGCCTCAATTTGTTTTATTCAATGGTTATCTAATGAATTCAGTAGTGGGACCAATTTTACGTGTGTCATTTTTAACATCCCTGTGATTCTGTAGTTCACAGAAGGCACCTCAGGAAATGGCATTCTATGGAACTTTGGGGTAGGCAGGTTCTCACCGTGTAGCACTGGCTCAACAGGGGCTCGCTGTGTAGGGCAGCCAGGCTGGCCTGAAGCTCACTATATAGACCAAGTTGTCCTCAAACTGCTGTGATCCTTTTGCCTCTGCTTCCTAGTTGTGGAGATGATAGGCATGGACCACTATTCAACCATTATCTGAAGCTCGAACAGTTGTGCTTTCAGTATTTAAAAACTTAAACTGTATTTGACCTCTAAATGTATCTGAAGTTTATTTTGCTATGTGGCTCTATTGAAAGCCATATATCAAATATCAAGTTAGCAGTGAGTGATGAAATAAATTTTCCTTCTGTCAGAAAATATTAACAATGTAAAATGGGATTCATTTCTTCAGTGTAGATTAGTGTCAATGAGTTTGTAGTTGTGGCAATCTTTTGGGACAACTGACGCAATCTACCATTTTATATTGAGTCTGTTTGTAATTATTTTGTTAATTTTCATGAGGTTGGCTCAACTATGACCTGGACTTCAACTAAGCAAAAATCCCCAGACCATGTTTTGAGACAGACAGCTTGTCAGTGGAATTATACATGTAATGATTCTCAACAGCCATGTGTAATATTTCAAGTTACATTTCCAAGTGTATTAAAAATTGTCCTTACAAACTTGGCATTTAAGCAAAATCTATCATAGTTTTCTCAGGATCTCAAATGCAGTCCTTTCTAACCTGGAAACCAGACAGGACAAAATCCACCTAAAGTCCTAAGTCTAACACCATCATGTTCTAAAATGTAAGAAATGCTTCTATCTAAACAAGATTTTACCCTTCACTATAGATGGTTATAATACTGGCTGCGTGTGTAAAGTTGGAAGCTGTCCTCACTTGAAAGACTCTGCCAAGCCAGACATGGAGGTCCCTACCTGAAATTTCACTATCTGAGAGCTTCAGGCAAGATGATAGAATTCAAGGTTAGCCTGAGCTGAGACCAGTCTCAAAAATTAAACAAAAAATATAATAAAAGAAACTATCAAATATAGATCAACCTAGTTGCTTTTAAATGAGTGGCTTTAAGAACTCATTTTCATATGATATTCCTAAAGTGTTTCAGGTTATGAAGAAGCCATATATTTGGGTACAGCAATGGGAACTGAATCTTTTACTTAAGATCTTATTTCACATCTAAAGCTAGGAAACTTTCTTGATTTCTGGCTATAAAGTGAACATGTTCTGCTGGACAGAATGCTGGAGCTTTACCTTTTCCTTCATTATCAACTATTGTCATATCTGCTTTGGCTTTGGCTAAGATTTCCATTGATAGCTCATGGCCCAGCTCCGCAGCTCTCATTGTCGGCGTGCAGCCCATGTGGTCTTGCACATCAGGGTGAGCGCCAAGTCCAAGGAGAAAGCTAACCATGTCAATGTCATTGGAAACTGAGGCTAAGTGGAGAGCACTAAGTCCATCAACAGGTTCAGTGAAGTTGATTAGCTCAGGGTATCCAAGTCTGGTCAGCTTCTCTATCTGCTTCTTGTCTTTGTTGCGAACACACTGAAGAACTCTGTAGATCTGTAAGTTCTCAAGTCTCTTGTCTGCTAAAGCCATGTTAGACGTTCACTTCTTAATAATGCTTTCTGGACTAAGACAAAAACTATAGAGCAAAAAGGGAAAACAAAGAAAGGTTAACTGTTACTGTTATTTTTATTAAATTACAGTATTTTAAAGCTCAAAAAATGAGATTTTTAAATATTATAATTTAGTCCAACCACTTCTAGAAAATATACATAACTTAAAAAATGCAGTTTGTAAAACATTAAAATATTTCAGTTTTCCAAGAGTAATTAGTTCTAGTTTGTGTGGTGGTTCCCTTGTCACACATAACGTCTCCTCATTGCCATAGTGTTTACATTTGCCATGAAGAAAGTGAAGTGGCCGGGCGGTGGTGGCGCACGCCTTTAATCCCAGCACTCGGGAGGCAGAGCCAGGTGGATCTCTGTGAGTTCGAGGCCAGCCTGGGCTACCAAGTGAGTTCCAGGAAAAGGCGCAAAGCTACACAGAGAAACCCTGTCTCGAAAAACCAAAAAAAAAAAAAAAAAAAAAAAAAAAAAAAAAAAGAAAGTGAAGTTAACTGAATTGCCAACACGAGGATATGGGTTCCCATCTGTGGCTCACACCAGTATTTCCCCTACACTGAAGTGTACATATAGTTTAGTCATGTTCATGAAGAACCTGAGTCTATCGGGCTGTGTGAGGCGCCAAAGGTATGAGGGTACAGAAGGCATGAGTGGTCACAGACAAGCATTGGAGAAACCAGGACTGTTTATCATGCAGGGTTGCCTCCTCAAAGGAGACAATTTAATAGCTATTTTCCACCCAGAAGGCTTGGAGTGAATGTTGTTAATTACCTGGTGACTTTGCTATTTGTAGAGCCAGACATTACCCAAATCCTCTGGAATGGTTATCCCAGACTCTTCTTTCCCTAAACCTTACCTTTAGCTTTGTTTCTTAGTCAAGAGAACCCATCCTTAGGGGAGATGTCACATGTACTTTGTATCCTTCTGACCTCTATAGTATCTCCTTCAGAGACCACAACAGATCTTCGGCCCTTAAGCTATAGAACCCATCTTCATTGTAGAGATCACATGTACTTTGCAAAAGAATTTTAATGTAGTCATGCCTTAAGCTTTATTGTACACATGGGATCGGGGATAATTGTTGTTACCAGGGAACTTTTTTCCAAAATTGTACTGGATTTAAATATGTCTAAAATAAACTGACCTGGTATCAGACTCCAGAAGTTTTGACCCTGCACTAAGTAAGTCGTGGTGACCCAGGTTTCATTTTTACCTCACCCAGAACATTTCACTGCCAGACATGACACTTGCTGAGACCCCTGTAGGAGGGATGATTCTTACATCATCTTAAGTTTGGTTAAGGCAGCTATGTGGAGGAGAGACAACCACAATTTTCATAAGTAACATCAATGTTAAATTGAGCACTCTAATGTGTAATTTCACCTCCTTAGAAAAATTATCAAGTTTTTCTAGAAAAATAATCATTTGATTGAATAGTAGGCCTTGATTATAGATATGCTCAGCTTGCTCATATCTTTCCTGGAAAAAAAACACCCCATTACCATATGAGGAACTAATTTTAAGTAGGGGCTGTCGTTCTGCCCCTAGTCAAGTCCCACTGCAGTGAACCATCTATCTCCACGTGTACTGAATTGCTTAACTGTATACACCTAGGCGATGCTGGCCAATCAGCATCCTGAGGGCTTTCTCTAGCAGAACTATGTAGAAAGACTGTCACTACTGAAGCTACCAAGCAGTGGGTTTTGCACTGGGGCTATTGCAGAAAGCATACATTCAAATGATGAGGACAAATTGATAGCAAGAGCTGTTCCCTGGGCCTCACTGTGTCAGAAGTCCAGCCACCTGCATCTTATATCAAAAGCTGCATGAGAAAAATCTAAATCCCTTCTTCTGTATGTCTTATCTTGGCACCAGGCAGCTAGTTGTATGTCTTACTGCTTCCATAACAACCCCTACATTCCATTCTCTATTTAACATCTACACTGGACATTTTCTATTTTACTACAAAATCAGCAAGTATACACATTCTTTTCCCCCACCACAATCTGCTACTTCAGCTATATGTTCTAGGGTAGTGAAGTGTACCATGTGATGCTTCGTTCCTCCTTCATGTCTCCATAGGCAACCAGGCTAGGCCCTGTTTCCTGTTTCTTCCTTTATCACTGCCCATTCCTCTACTGTATTCTTTCCTGGCTCTTTTTTATGACATCTCATTGTTGGAGTGTCTTGATAGGCACAGGGCCCTTTTTTCATCCTTGGGAACTCTGTGACTAGCGCCATCTCTTGACCTTTTTCTCAATTTTCAGCTTTTGATTCTTCACTCTCAGGTTTACGTAGCCCCCATGAGCTCTCCCCAGAGTGACAGAAACTATTACCCATCTGTATCTGATGGGCTTCACTAACATGTCATAGCCAGGGGCCAATTGATAGATTCTGGGAGAGAAGGAACATTTCTCTTTCAGGTTGTGACCCTTGGTAAGTTGTCTATGCTCCAGCAGATGGCCCTATACTCATGCATATACAGTAACACTAACTGGACAAAGTGGAATACTAAAAAATAAAGAAGATGACATGAAGGGAGACATGTTGGGGGATATCCAGGGGTAACTGAAAGGGGGAAATGGAGGGTGGATAGTCATAATATATTCTGTATATGTATGAAATTCCCAAAGAAGAAATTACTTTTAGAAAGAAATATGGCCATTGCAGAATGTATAATACTACCTTGACCTTCTCCACTTCTTCCCATTTCTGATAATGGTACCAACAGCCATAACATACTCAGATCAAACCACTAGAGTTACGTCTCATTATTTTTCTTCTTCATATATAACCCCACTCAACACCTAACAGCAAATCTCATGACCTCTGCCACCAGTGTATATCTTGACATCAACCCTGCACTAGTGTCCTAAGCCAAATCATTGCCAGACTTCCAGCTTGTCTAAGTACTTCTCTAACAGATCTATACATTCCATTATTTAGACAACTTAAAGAAAAAAGTCCTTTTAAAATGTAGATCAGATAAAATCATAACACGCTTTTGACACCAAAAGTTTTAGGATGATTTTCTAAAAATGCAAATTGTGTGTTCAATGCCCAAACATTCACCACCTAGGGGCTACCAATAAGATTACCAATACTTGCTTGATTTCATATCTACCCATCCCTTTATCCACTGATTAAGCTCAGTTTTTGATGCAATTGAAGTAAAGTGCAGACACATTCTAATATTCTAATATACATACCCTGAACTTGAATCTATTATGTATTTGTAGTCCTTCTCACATTTTGGCTATATAATGAAATGAGCAAATATTAAATTTGCCAGCCTGGTCTACAGAGTAAATTCCAGGACAGCCAGTGCTACAAAGAGAAACTCTGTCTTGAGAGAAAAAAAATAAAAGAAGAGAGAAATATATTTAATTCCATTAGAATCTGGTCATCATGGAACATAAGATTTATAATACTGTTATTTCTCTATGCCTTAGAACCTGAATTACAGGAGATATTTAATGAGTACTTTCTCAATGCTTAACAGCTCCAAGTTAAAAGAACTGAAGAGGAAGCATGAAAGAAAGCACCCTGGTTTCTGGTTTGATCCACTAGATACCTGTATCTGAAATGGGCTGCTCATGGTGGGCTCCACATTGGTCAGGCAGAGTAGAGAGCCCTTCGGCATACTGAAAGGATAGACAAGCTGATATCCACTTTTGAGACGTCAGGGGAGATGTCTGATCCAGGTCCGTGGTGGGTTATGAGGTGTTCAGCAGTTACAGGGCAGCTGAAATGGAGTCAAGAGCAACCATCAATACCAAATCCAGAAGGCCAAGCCGTTTCTTGTCCTCAGTCTTCTGCACTTCTCCCCTTTCCTGCTGAGATATCAGCCACCATATAGCTGAGAAACTGATGTCCTGCTTCCTTCCGGTAGGCCTTCTCTCCCCTTCTAGTCTATCTCTAACACATGGTGGACTAGGAAACCAGAAAATGGAGTTTGTTTAAACTTTTGTACAAACAGACTTTGAGTAAAGCCTGGGTCCATCACCCATCTGCCTTTCCAGCATGGCTTACTGACACACATTTCAGATGTATTCATAACTCACTTGTGGAGTAGTGTCATACTACACATATAGACACATATGTATGGAATAAGACAAAATACTGCTAAATAGTTTATTGATTATACTGAATCAAACCTGCTTTATTTGTGAGGACAGGGACTCCACAGTCAGACACTTTAATATTGTCTGATTCCATTCATTAAAAGAAAAAATACTCCCCGCAAACACAAACCACAAAAAACTGACATCATGATTCAATCAAGCTCTGATAATGGGTTCAGCAGGTCCCTAGTCAGTCTCTGGGCTGGAAGACAGTGGCATGTAATTACAGTGTTTTGTCTTGAGTCCTTTATTTGGAGTCTGAATATTCTTAAATTATATAAAATACCCACCCCCCTTCCATCCCTCCCTTCTCCTGTATGCTTTCAGATGATTTTTCAGAAACATTTTCTTTTCATGGCAAGATGCAGAGACCTTTAAATTCTCCACAAGGTCCACAGTATGGGTGGTGCATTAGAAAAACGGATGAAGCCACACTTGACAGAGGAGCTTAGGAGAGGGGAATCTACTCTTCTGTATCCGTTTCACCCATTGGTTGCATACTTGGACAGGTTAACTAGACTAGTCTGTTTTCAGTGACTTCATCTGTGAACTGGGGATACACAAAAGTTGTCACTTTGTGGGGCTAACTCAAAAGGAAATGTGAATTCTTGCAAAATACTTAGACAAGTCCTTCAGGGCAGGCTGGCTACAAATAATCACCAGCTCTGTGGGTTTTGTTTCAGCCCACCCATAGACAACGGTGTACATTTGTGGGTTTCTCTCCGTTGCCTTCAGTTTTGAATCCCAGAAAAATCCAGGAATGAGAAGGGCAAGTAGAGATGTCATTTCACAGCAAAGGGTAGGGTATCAATCTCACCTTCTCGTCCTAGAGGCGATCAGAAGCAGGATCTCTCAGAGTAACTGCGTCCCTGGTCTTGTGAGGGCCTCAGGCCCCTGTTCTCTGTCGCCTGGGACTGGCCCGAGCCAAGGCCTCAGGCCCCAGTATTGAATGGTGTCCCTTCGGGCAGAGCAGGCCAGCCTGCGCGCAGGCAGCAGCCAAGAGTGTGTGTGTGTGTCCGCCAGCGTGCGACCAGGTGATCATAGGGGGCGAGCTGCAGCCGCCAGGCTGGGCCCACTGTGAGCTTCACCCACGCACAGCCTGCTGCCAGGGCAACCACTCAGGTACGCCACAGGGTGGAGCTTGCCCTAGGCCCCGCCCACCGTGGGCGGCAGAGGTGGTTTAGCTCCAGCTAGGATGCTCCTAAACCTGAATCTTGGGGGTGGGGCACCAGGACTGCACCCTTCCATTCTGTTCGCCCACCTCCTGCCCTCAGTCAAAAAATAGAAAAGTGAAGCTGCGTGTGGTAAATAGTAATAATTAAATACACAATAGTTTACTGAGTAATATTAAGTAAAAGTGAAAAATGCAACAAACTGTACAAACGAAAAATGATTTTTTTGCTCATACATTCCTAAAACTATTTATACACAAATGGAAATAACTTTATTTCAGAGCCCCCCCACACACACACACACCATTTTGGAGGCAAATTTTGAAACTATGTTTAAGGAACGAAAAACCTATATCTAAAAAATATATATTTATTTTTATTTTATGTGCATGAGTGTTTTCCTGTGGGCTTCTAAGTAACTATGTGTGGACAGTGCCTGCAGAGGTCAGAACAGCGTGAAGCATCCCCTGGAAATGGAGCTACAAAAGGCTGTGAGTCGCCATGTGGGTGCCGAGAACCAAGCCCACTGGTCTTCTGCAAGAACAGTAGGTGCTCTTAACCACTGACTCATAACTCCAGCTCAAACTTTCATGGTTAAAATTAAATAATTTGGCCGGGCGGTGGTGGCGCACGCCTTTAATCCCAGCACTTGGGAGACAGAGCCAGGCGGATCTCTGTGAGCTCGAGGCCAGCCTGGACTACAGAGTGAGTTCCAGGAAAAGCGCAAAACTACACAGAGAAACCCTGTCTCAAAAAACCAAAAAAAAAAAAAAATTAAAATTAAATAATTTGGAGAAGTTTCTAAAGTCTAATAGTTCCTGACACCCAGCCCTTCTTATCTACCACAGAGATATTGCTTTAAGGACTACTTCACACAAAAATACTAAATGATGTACAGATAGTGTGATAGTACGAAGAACACGAAGTGCAACGTGACTAAGGAGAAAGAAAACTGGAAAAAAGAATGAAAAAGAAAGGGAGGAAGGAGTAGAGAGTCAAAGGCAGGAATATAAAAACCAGGTTTTACCACTGGTCACCTCTGTGTTTCTTCCTGATACTCTACCCTCCTCCTCCTGCCCTTTGAACTTTGTATTTAATGTTCCCTAGCATCCAGAACTGTGTTGCTTCCTGTGAATGGTTCCCTGAATCATGGGTGTTTAGAATGGAATCACGTGTTTATAAATTGTAATGAAATGGAGAAAATAGCTGCTATGGTGTGTATGCTTGTGTCTGTGACTCCTGTGCTCTTTGAGGGCCCGAGGCTGGAGTCCAGGCCTTATAGCAAGATTAAGGCCAGTTTGAGTTTCATGAGACCCTGTGCCAAGAACAACAACCACTGCACACACACACACACACACACACACACACACACACACACACACTTCATTTAACAGTTGAATGCTATTCCACTGCATTATTATTCATGCTCCTTTTAAGCCAGCAGTACTATTGGTAGATATTCAGTGTATTTTCAATATTTGCCATTAAAGCAAAGCTTCTAGGACCATGTTTACCCATAGTTTTTAGAAAAGTAAGTGCAAAATTTTCTCTAGGGTGTATGTTAGCAGTGAAACTTCTGGGACATAGATTAAATATAATATCAAGAAAACGATAACGTGTTTTTCTTATTTTAGTGACACAGTTGATGTCAGTGGTACCCTGGTTTAATTATGAAATCCATGAAATTGTAAATATGGTACATGTCGGAGGATTCACATTTAGAAGATGGAAGGGAACAGATTAGTAAGTCCATCAGAACTACTGACTGGAAGCTGACAGAATCTAACACTTAGGTTCTACCAACATAAAGTATGAATATAAAACAGAGCCCTGGCTAAGATGTCCATTAGCCTAACTTGTTCTATCTTTATCTGGTGATGAGTATAATATTTTATCTTTAAATTAAAACTATTTTCAATTTAAATGAAAATAAATACTATATAGTCTCAGACATGTCCCCAAATATTTGGTTAATAAAAGTCATTTATTAAATTGCTTCATACATGTTTATAAAAAGTGTCATTAAATCTCCATAGATAAGCTGCTTTGTTACCAGAAGCTTGGAAATTTTTGTTTGTTGGCCTGGAAGGTAAACCTTCAGTAGATAGTCCCTAACCTGTTAGTTAACTCATAAGGCATGCCTGTGGGTGATGATATATTATTAGAAATAAACCATGTTGAGTTTTAAATGTATGTTGACATAGGATTGAGGTAAAGCTGTCAAAGGTGTTTTACTGTTGCTGTCTTCTTTTCACAGTTCTTTACAAAACTGTCTGTCTCTTCTAAAGTCCATCCTTGCCTCAAAGCTCCCTCTGTTTCAGGTTGTGCCTCTGTGGGATGGCAAAGGCTGCTGTCAGGGCGTCCTGCACAGGGATTTAAAACTGTTTGTTGTACAAGTAAATCACACGTCAATGACAGATACATTGTATCTTTTCAAATGATAAATAAAAACATGTCCAATGATTTTGAAGTGAGAAATAAATTGGTCGACAATATAAAACACCACTTCATTCTTCCATCTGCAGTTCACCTTCACTTTTAATTGCAGCAATTCTGAGCCATGTCTTGAATGAGGGCTGAAGAATGATTCCTTTAGAATATGAGCAATCTGTGCATAATTATATTCAGATCAGAATCTACACTTTCTCTAGCTTAGAGAAAAGCTATTTTAGGATCTCATGAGGGGAATAAATACCTTGGAAGCTCTTGCTGTGCACATTTTTCTCAGCTTGTGTCTTGATTCTTCTGAATAGTCTCATCTATTCCTGAGGCTTTTCTCTTTTTCCAAATTCTGAAATACTTAGATCAAGTGGGATTACTTATCACTTGAAGATGGACAGAATATTCCGGTCTGCATTTCTAAGGGTACACTTTTAATCACAATTCCAAGTTCTTGCACTTACCTATTTGGGGTTTTTACTTATAAGAAAGATTAGTGCTAGTAATTTATAATAGTTTATGCAAGTTTTCAAATGGACTGGCATATGACTGGTAGTGGTTCATTTTATAATTCCTGTAGTTTCTCAGATGATGTGGTCGTGTCTTTTACTTTCTTGATTATAGGTCAGCTTTTCTCTTTAATCTGAATCACAAAGTCTGTTCTGCTTTATAGAGCCTTCCAAAGAAGGCACTTTTATGACATATCTTTTCTAATGTATTTTGTTGTTTTGAATTTAGCTATTTTCCTTTAATATCTCATAATAGCACCATTCATTTTATATGTTTTTTTCACTAATTTTAGGCTAGAAACTGTTTTCTCTCTAACACACTTTATTAATGTAGGCCCTAAAGGATATATGTTTTTCCTTGAACATATTTTCATTCATGTCTCCTGGTCTTAGTATTAAGTAGTCTTTTAATTGCTTCATAAAGAACTGAAATATTATTGTGCTCTCCTCAATGCCAAGATGGAGTATGTTGCTTAATTTTCAATTAATTAAACTGTTGATCATTTGGAAATAATTTAATTTGCTATATTATGATCAGATAGTGGGACTATTAACTGACTTTAAGAAATTATTCATAAAAGGACATAAAAAGTATATTATCTGGGAAATGAAATTAATGTATTTAATCAACTTCATTATATTATTCCATTTTCCTCTGTATTTGACTACTTTTTAAATCTGCTCAATTCATAATATATTAAATCTTCAGTAATAAGAATGTTTTATCACACTCTTCTTTGCTAAGAAGTTTTACTTTATCTGTTGTTGTTTTCAGACACATCTGAATCCCGACTTTGATCTATTATAGCCCCTCTTCTGTTCTCAGGTAGAGTCATGGTGATGGGCTTCAGTACTCAAGTCTGGTTATTCCAGAAACATTTCTGGTTGTCCATGTAAATGTGTGGAAAGGTAAAAATTTGTGCTCCCCTGAAAATAGTGATAATATTGTGGTGATGTGGATTATTTATATTATCTCCTAATTCTCCATTGAGAAACACACAGCTCAAATCCCTTCCATTTCACACTCAACACATCTGGTTTCTAATAAGTATAATGTAGTAGAACAGACAGGGAGACAGCAAAAGTGAGGGCACAAGAGACATGATGGCTTCTAACTCTGAGAATATTGATATGAGGCCAGAGAGGAACTGAAGCCTCCAGCCAACAGCGATGGCCTAGACACCCAGGAAGTAAATCCTTCAGCTGCAGTCTCACTGTTCCATGTCTCCAGTCTGGAGCCACCATCTTGAATCCCAGCAGGAGAAGCCCAGAACCAGCCCCTCTTTGAGAGAAGCTGAGTCCATAGAAACCAGGAAAATGATTTCTGCTGCTTTAAGCCATGAAGTTTGGGTGATGATTTTTTTAAAGAACAAATGGTAACATATTCACTTCCCTGAAGTATGATGAAGAATTGATTATAGATCATGTATGGAACTGTGCTCTTGGTTTTGCTATGGGATTCAGCAACTTACACTGGGAACTTCTCTGTTTTAAAACAACAAACAAACCAGTCTTGTCCAGGCTGGCCTAATCCCAAAGTTCATGTGAACCTCATGACTTAGCCTCCAGAGTAACTGAGATTGCGAGTATGTGTCATCATGTCCCGCCATACTTTTCTTTTGTTCATTTTTAAGCCCTGAACATTTCTGTCTGGATCATTTGTTTGTGACTAGAGTTGTATATCCAGGATTTGCCTCAGATGGGTACTTCAAGGCTAGATTCTCTGAATTCTTGTAATCTGTGAATACGTCTACTTCACTCTGATGAGTATCTTAGTATGTGTTGAACTTCTGGGGTCATGTCCTTTGCCTGAGCAACCTAAATGTTTCCTACTACCCACAAAAACCTCCCATTTCCCTTCAGTGTGTAGGTATTTTACTCTTCTTGCTCATTTGGTGAAATTTTCTTTCTACTTTGTATGTAAATGATTGCTTCTTCCTTAAAATTTGAAACATTTTCCCTTTGTTATTCTGTTT